ACGGTTTTAGTGTTCCTCAGTGCCACCTCTCCTGTGGCAGCAGCTAATTCGCCCCTGCAATGCAGCTGGTACCATTTCCTTCTTTTTCAAGAAGATGAGGAGTCAGCATCTTCCCTGGGCAAGATTCTGGCTCTTTGTTATACATGGTTTTTTCCCCATTTTGCGCCTTCTGTCTTTTCCCCACAGCGAGGTTTCTGCCCTGATCAGTAAGGTGAGACTGGCAACTTGTCTATCAGATCCTTTCCCCTTTAGCTTCCCTTCAGGAGCTTCTTCCCTTCTTTTCTGGCTCCGTAAGCAGTGCCATTACCTCTCTGATGATTTCCTGGATTTTCCATCTGCTCAAAATAGGCACTTGTGAGCTCTCTTGTTAATTAATGTGTTCTAAAATCATTATGTTCATCAACCAAGCCTTATCACTTCCATTTTTTTCCATAATAGTAAAATCTATTGCCCTAAGTAAAACAGAGGTAGCTATTTTGATGTTCAAAATTTAGTAAACTCTGTTTTGAACAGAGGCTAATCACTCAAAGCAGAAGTCGCTACTAACCTGGAGTATCAACAAGGGGTGAGCACGCTGTACTTGTTATTAAGGCTTTGCACCTCTGGCTCAAACTGACAGAATTTCAGAGATTTCTGTTATAAATTATTTTTGCAGCTTTGGAGTCTGACTCAAAACACTCTACTTCAGTCTGCATTAGGTATTTTGCTAACTGTATTTTAAGCTGTGCCAGCTTTTGCTATATATTGTTACTTGTGTTCTTTCTGACTGTCAATGAAGTATTTTAGTAAAGGCGTGTATAAACAGTAATCTGTGACTTGGGTAATAAAACTGACAACTGGTTGTGAAGATGTTACTAACAGATATTTTTACTCTATTTGTCACATATGGTTTGAATGGAGAAACAAGTTCCCTATGTGGTACTTAGCAGACACACAATATCCCAAACATAACAGAATTTAGTAAAGAAAAAGACCTATCAGATCTTTTAGTTCTGCATTCTGATTAATTTGGTAACAAGGGCATCCCACAGTTTGAGTGTTGTTTTACGAAGCAACAACCCCTAGTAATTGCCTCTAGGGAGGAAACAAAATACTGCTTAGGCTTAGGGAAATGCTTCTGTTTTGTGTGCTGCCTAACACACAATCTTATTTATATTTTAAAGTTGAGAGCTATAAAAAAAGAAAGATCTTCTACCCCCAGCCTACACAGATCTAGTTAATCTCTTGGATGACAAAAGACACAAACAGTTCACTTCTCATTACACAAGGACCAGATAACAAGGTAACTCTTACTTATGTAAGTGCAGTTACATTACCATTTTTGGCAACCGAGCAAAAGATTATTTACCAGTAACCACACTTCTTTGAAATATATTGCCCATATATACCCTACCATTGCAGGTGTTCTTATTACAAGCACCTCTCCAGATGCCAGTTTTGCCTCGTCAGTACCTGCAGGCATGTTCATGCCCTACCTCATCCTGCAGCCATAGAAATGTTGATCTTGTCCTATGATGCCAAGCTTCTCTCAATGTCAGGACCCTAGAGTCCTGCAGTTCTCAGGAGAGTCCTCCTCTTTCCAGGAGAGAAAGGGATAAAAGCTTGGCAGTGAATATATCTGATGTTAGTGCTGAGTATGTCAAGTCCTGAAGGTCAACTACAGGACAGGGATCTTGCTCCATTCAGTCTGTTGCTGTGATGATGTAAATGTGCCATCACCTGGGCAAGCTCAGGCAGTGTGAGAACTCATACCATGCATTTGGCACTGCTATGAATCCCAGCTAACAAAATGCAAAGTCTGTGAAGCTGTTGGATTGCTGGGGTGAAGTTCCAGTCCGGACTGAGAAACATCAGTAATTATCTTTCAAGAAGAAGGGGTAAACACAACTGTATCCCTTGGCAGAAGCTGGGGTGCAGGAGGCAGTCCAGCCAAAGAGATGGGCAATAGCAAGAAGAAACAGTCACGACCCTGTTGGGAGGGTCTGTTCCTAGAGTCAGACGTGGGTAGGGATGGATGCACAGCCTTACATGAAGGGGAACATAAGTGCAGGGTGCCATGTGGCTCAGAACTGCCAGATGTGTCTGCAACATGATGACAGGACCTGCCTGTAATTGCCTGACCAGTTTTTCCACTGTATGAAAAGTGCTCCTGTGGGAGACAAGCTTTTGCTGATATTGTTTCCAGGCAGGCTCCAGGAAATCCAGTGAACTGAGTCAGGAAGAGGAAGGACTTGTCCTGCTTCACCATGAAACCCAGGGAACTGAAAACTTTACGTGCTGTCTCTAGATTTTGAAGGACTTGCATCTTCAGTGATCCCTTTAGCAGCCAGTTCTCCAACGAAGATTGAAAAGGCTAATCCCCATGTTATGAGATGAACTGAAATTGTAGCCTTGAAAAAGTCTCTTAGCGTCATGCAGTATCTTGTGTGCACAGTGTCACGACCCAAAGACATTTCAGATGAGACTGCCTGAGCATAAGCACTCTGCAAGTCAAGAGTGTTGCCACAGTTGACTGAGCTGACTGATTTCTAGGATGCCCTGGCTCTGAGATCCCCTAGGATCCTAGAGGGAGCCTAAATATATAAGCAATAAATCTCTCTGGAGGTGCGTGTGATGCCTGGCCTTCACGCACAGCAATGAAACCTCTTACTGGTGGATTTGCATGTGACCCCACTCCAAACTAATGCAAATCAAGAGATACGACAGATTATTAAAATCATTTTAGGGAGAAGAAAAGGCTGCACTAAAATAAGGAATAAATGAAATAAAAAATGAGCAAAAGCAGGCAGGGAGAACAGGGCATCGGTGCGCCATGCTGGTCCTTCACAGCAGCAGAAAATCTAGTAAAATCCAGTATAGATTTAACAAAGCAAAGTGGTAAAAGTAAATTACATAAAAGAGGGAAAGGTACCAATAAATCAGGGGCGCAATGCAAATTTTTCTAAATGCTTTGGCAACATAACGACACACCAGAGGAGCCAAGCTGGTGAAAGAGCTATATGATACACCCTGTTCCTCCAGGGCTGCAGGAGGGTGAACAGAGGAGCGTGGCCAACATGGACTGTGAACACGCACAAACCTCGGGCTGGAGCAGAAGCAATACGAGCACACCCAGCATGTACGGACAGACAGATGCACGCTTGGAGGAGAATGCTGGATTCCCTTCTGAGAAACATTAGTGTCGGGACTCCCAACAGGCTGTCTGCCAAGGGGGATAATTAAGCTAAATAAAAATACACAACAGTAACAGCTCCACAAATGAGGGTAATTTAATTACCACATTCGATATAGGAGACCCACTTCCCATGAGTTTTCCATTGTGACCAGAGAGGAGACAATAGCAACAGAACGTGCTGCAGAAAGGAAGATTCATTTACTAAAAAGAGGCTTTCTATTAGGGTCTGCATATTAAACATCACAGCTTTCCATAATCATGTCATAATCTTGCCATAAAATTCAATCAAAGCAACAGCTTGTGAATGTCCAAAAATCAATGGAACTGTATGAGGAATGATTGCAGATGTAACACTGGAATTTATTTCAATGCTCAATCCATGGTGGTGGTAAGGAACATCTAAATAACAGGGAAGGAGGTGTCCTGCAAACACCTCTTAGGCAAGAGCTCCTCTCCCTCAAATTCAGAGGAAACACAAAGAGTAGGCAAACTACACTTCACTTGATACTACCCGTTTGTTTGACTTTTGGAAAAACAGGCAATTTCTATCCACTCATCTTCCTAAAATAAAATAGTTGTTAAACCAAACAGGGCATAGTCTCATCTGGAATCCCAACCCAGTAGCGTAGTTTCACTGAGCTGAATTTAAAATACAGGAGCTTCAGATTTGCTTTATTCATTAGTGCTGAAATGCAATAGAAAGCGAGAGCTAACATGCTGGGCTTCTGAAGAGCTTTATACACTGCGTAATGCACCTCTAGGGTGCTCGTCTGTTAAGTGAGAGAGAAGTGAAAATATTTTTCCTCCCCTTCTCTCTCTAGTGAAAACACTTAGTGGACAGCACAGGCTCGGTTCTTTTGAAAGTAATGGAGCGAGTGTATCCACTCAATTATTTAAAACAGTTGAGTAATTGCAGTCCTGTCAGCTCAGAAAACATCTCTCTGTTAAAGCTGCTGCACAAAATCATTTCTGTGCAGGCGGTCACAGTAGCACTAGTTTTCTCTTTATTTATTTCCACATTCTCTGAGCTGGAGCCACTGGCAAGGGATGAGGCTGCATGCCCCTGTTTGCAGCTGCTTTTGCCACAGGGTAAAACACAGTCAGTAGAAGGAAGGAGGGAGGGAGGTGGGGACACCTTGGGAGCTTTTTGGAGGTGGCATGTTTATACGTGATGGCTGATGACTACATAAATCCTTACAGAAATCTCTCAGGGCATGGTGTGTGCCAGAGATAAGTATTATAATAGTAGGCTTATAGGAAAATGGATTCAGACAGCCAGGAGAGTCCAAGGATGGAACAGGATTGGGCAGAAAGTCCTCTTGCTAAGACCCCCTGGAGAAGCTCCTTTAGCAGGGGCTAGGAGGTTGGAAGGTCACCACATTTGCCTTCCACAGATTCCAGTGCACAGAGGAAAAACACTGCAGGGTATGCAAAGATCACTAGACATTTCTTCCCTAGCCCCAAAACACACAGAGAATCACAGCTCCAACGCCTACACTCACCAGCACCACTGCTTTATTCCACAGCTGCCCTGCTGTGTCCTCTCCCATCCAACAGTGTGTGTTTTGCCTCCTTCATCAGGGGTTGTAGGACACAGAGCAAGAACGACCGGACTGATGAGTCGAGCCATGGACATGTGCACATCCGTCTAACCTGACCATTTGAGAATGAAGGTTTGTTCCTTTCTTTTCTCTACTTTTACCAGTAATGGCTTTCTGGGATAGTTTTCAAGCACATTGCAAGAAACAGCTACCAAGGCAAATGAATTATATAAAGCATACGCTGACAGTGCTGAGAGTTTTCACACCTTCGTTAACTGGCTCACCTTAATGGGTACTTCTCTCCAGGGTCCATCCCCAGGTGGAAAAGCAGCGGCAGGGTAGTGTGCTCCTCCAGCGTGTGTGTTGTCACTCCAGAGACATTCTGCCCAGGACAGAAATCAATGCCCTACAGTGAAGAGGAGAGAGGTGATCAAGGGTGCAGCAGGGGAGGGAGCAAAATTTTAGCTGATGCCACTTTCTTCAGCACCTTGTTCCAATATACCCACAAACCTCAGAATTATTTTAAACCGAGAGTCCATGTCAGTCTGCAAAATGGATTCTGATCTGACAGGGTAAAATAAGGTGACAATGTTGGCATTGCACTCACATAAAAGCTGAAGCAGCCTTATATTCTTGCCTTATAAAAAAGTAATCTCTATAAAATATTCATTAAAACGAAATGGCAAAACAAAAGACAAAGAGGTAAAACCATTTAATCATAAAAATTCTGCACGTGGAAAGTATCTTCTCTGTTTGGTTTCTATGGCTTTGAAACTCACAGAGGGGATCAGATCACTTGGCAGTTCTGATCAAAAAGCAACAGTCCTGGGGGAAACATCCAGCCAAACCAAGGGGCATCACCCTGAGAGGCAATGCGCACCTGCTAGCCTCCCTGAAAACTCAGCTTGCTAGCACCTGACACCAGACCTGAAGGCTCTGTTTCACTGAAGAACAGAACAAACCAGTTAATTTTAAAGAAATGGGTGCATTTGTTGATCTGACTCATAGCAAGCTGGTACTGAGGCACTCGCCTGGGAATGACAGTGGGGCTGAAAGAACTGTATTAAGTCTGGAGACATTCCTTTCACTAACATTCAAGTCTACGGGGTCAGAAGTTGGGATTTTCCCAGCAGTGGCAGTGGGTATGAAGGACACAAGTACTGGGACTCTCCCTTTGCTAGCAGCAACGGGTTAAAGTGCTCACTGGCCACCGAGGGACAGAGCGAGCCGCCTGCTCGCAAATCCAGAGCGGTGAGCTCTCTGCATCTGCCCTTGCACGCCTTGCCAGGCTGCGTCCCCCCAAGCCCGGCCGGTTATTAGCCAGGTGTCGAGCTCCCTAATCACCTAGAGCCTGGCCGGCAGTCTAGAGGGCTAACAGAACCCATTTAAGCCCTGGGAATAGCAAAAAATGCAAAGCACTAATTTCACTGAACAGCAAATAAAGCAGGGGGCCCCACAGACCAGCAAGGACTAGCACCAAATGGACTTGTTAAAGCTCAGTTTTACAATTCCAGCTAACATGCTGCGCTCCTTACAATACCTCAGAATGCCCCGAGACACGGACAGAGACATGGAGAGAAGGTAAATGGGAATATTTCAATGGGAGGTGGGAAAGCAGCTGTAGCATTTGCTTATAAAACAAACAAACTGAAAAGGCTCTCTACAGATGTTGGTAGGATTTGATTGGCAAACAATTTTCTAAAAATATCCTCTGTTTTTAATGGACAGCTGGTCAGTGGAGCAGTTAATATTCTGCTTTTCAATAAAGCAAGAAGTTTAGAAGCCCATGAAATCCCATTTATCTGCACAGAGCTATAGATTCCTGAATCACTGACTGGAAAAATAAGAGAGTTGCTTGATAGGTTGTAGTGGCCTACCAATAATGGACTTTAAATGGATACAAAAATGATTGACCTTTCCACCTTGTGACGCCACAGGCCTCTGAAACACACAGTGAAAAATAGATTATTTTTTTTTTTCCCTCAAAAGGAACAGTTAATGAAAAGGTATCAAAGCCTACAAAACACCCAAATTATAATTTGGATGCAAATCAAACAAGCAATTTAATTAAGAGCCTGCTAATTGGTACAATGCTCTTCAGCTGCAAATGCTTTGGTTTGAAAGAAGATTTTAGTCTCTTGGGTATTTGTTTATACATTGCTCTGTTTACATTTTATCTTTTGTTTCTTATAAAATCCTTGTAGCTGAGACTCTAGAACACAGCCCAGGCTACATCCCAAAGACTCCCAGGAAAGAAAGTGCTGTGACAACTTGCCTGATGCCACTAGCCAAAAGCTATCTGTCTTTCTAATCTAAGCACTCAATGCCCTCTTCAAAAGTAGTCTATTGGGAAAAAAATCAAATAAATAAAAAAAAATAAAATCAAGCATACCATTTTATGACATTGATAAATAATGCTCTTAAAATATGGCTGAAACCACCCTTTAAAGTTCTAAAGCCTTTCAACTTTATCTCCACAAATAAAATTGACTATTAGTATTTTTATGTACTGTGTGACTGCCAATATTCAACCTACAAAGAGAGCTTAAAATATTTTCTACCTGCTCATCAACAAATGAGCAAAAAATAAGAGGTAAAATTTTATCCTCACACCCCTGATCAAGGCATTCTTCTGCACCGGAGTAAGTGATACACTACGGATATAGATAGAGCAGCATAGTCTTCTGTCCCTCTGACAGAAAAGAATATTTAACTTACGATCCACAACTCTATCTCATTCTGGTTTGTAAGTCAAAGCATTTTCAGTTTGCAGGATGGAAAGAGAAAAATCAGCTATACCAGTGAACTGAAAGTCTGGGATCCCAAGTCCGGCTTGCTTGTCTTTTCTGGAGCAAAACCAGTATAAATTAAATCTGCTTGAGATTTGAGAAGTATTTAAAGACAAGACAATCCACTTTCTGGAGCATCTGGACAATGCCTCTGGTTGCTTGGAAAGTGTGCAAATTTGGTCACGTGTGGTACTGGGAGCTGGGGCGGAGGGACATGCCAAAACTCCTTGTGCACGTCTTGGATGGGAGAGAAGGAGCTGCCCTCCAGCTCTGCTACCCCAAGCGGGCTGCAGGACAACAGGCCTGGTGAGGAAGGGGACTCTGTTCTAGATGATGATTTTAAATCATGTCAACATTTTGGATCATTTCTTGCTCTTCATTAAACAAAACTTTTTTTTTTTTCCTTGTAAAAGCCCAAGCTGACAACATGCTTGATGGACCCCAAGAACACTGCAGGCTTTAACAATAAATGCAAATGTGCCAGGTTCTCAGCTGGAGCAAAAGCCACATCATTCCATGGGCTGCAGAGGAACTCTCCCCATTTATGCTGACAAGGGACTGGCTTCAGCTCTCTGGCACTGCCAACAGAACGGCAACTTCACCCAAAAATAAAGCTGTGTTCTGTCTGAGAAGAGCAAAGAGGTAGCTACGCCTGCCCTATCCACCAGGATAACAAAATCCAAGTCAACTACCACTTCATCTGCTGTTGTTTCCTTTAAGCTATTTATTTGGCAGACTGTTAATAACAATATGCAGGGGATCAATAGCCAGTTAAAGTACGTGCCTAATATTTTACTCTGCACACTATCCAAGGTAATTTGCATGTTTACAGGTAACACTGATCAAACAAAGTAGAAATGTTACTCCCAGTGTTTAAGCAAATTCTTGGAGCTTTCCTCCTCAATTATAAAAGCATGAAAACCACCAGAAGATCAGCTCCCTGCCTGCTAAGGGAGCCCATAAAAGAGCATCAGATGGCAACCAGAAATAGCTCAGGTCCTGCACCCAGTCTCTTGCACAGGCACAGTGTTTTGCACCACTGCACAGACCTGTTTGCTGTAGGAGAAATTCCAGCAACGCTTTTTTTTTTAAAAAAAAAAAAAAGAATGAAAACCACAACATTTCCTGCACATCAGGTAAACCTTTCAGTGAGCATGTCTTTCTGCCCTTCTCCCCAGCAATCATGAAACCTGGATTGTTTTTCCGTTCATAAGATCTAGCGGCTATTGGTTGCACAGCTTATGCTTTAATTTCCAGAGCAAATGGACCACAGATGCTATGTCAATATAGACATGAGACAAATACAGCCGGTTGCCAGTTTGGGCTCTCCGCCAAGTGATGGAATCACCACTTGTGTTAACGTAAGCCCTCTGGCAATTCGTCACCCTGGCGCTATCCCAGATCCCTCCGACTTGACGAGCGGCTGCAGATTTTGATAGTGGCGCAGCGAATCTGGGGTCTGTCTCCTGGTCAGGTCTCCTCATTCCGCCACACAAAACCCAGAGCAGCAAAACTGTATTAATATTGGAAGGAGAAAAGAACAGCAGTTAATTAAAGCCAGGAACATTGTTTCTTGCTGTTTGCCACAGCATGGGTAAGCGGCTGTTCTCACTCTCCTGGCGATTCCCAGCAAAAGCCTCCCAAACTGGAGGTCTGAGCGACCAGATACCTAAAAGTGTGACTGCCAAGCTTCAACCCTGTTGAACAAAAATTGCTTCTAATGTGTTAACTGTCTGGAAGAGACCCCAGAAGATGGGCAGATCAGCAAGCCTCCAGCGGCTCTCAAGCAGAAGCGATCAATGGCTAGCTCATATGCTCAGAGGACCACAATCAAATGTCATTATTTGTGAGGTTCTACTTGACTTCACATCCCCCTTGCAGAAAAGGCTTTATCGATCCCTTCACGTTGAGGAGAAGGGCAATCAGACAGACTGCAGCAGGAATAACCCCTTTGGCATTTTACAATAAAACAATAGGGTCTTCTGGCAGGCACCTACACCAATCATTTAAAGACACAGGAGCTCTCATGAAAAATCACTGAAGACTACTAACAAGATACTAAGCTGACAGCAGAAAGGTTGATGTTATCAGCCACTCTCCAATGAACCAAAGGGCGTTTTCCACATTTTTTCTTAATTATTTTTTCCCCTTCTTGCATCACTGCTCTTGGAAGGCACAAGAACTATTCTCTGCTGGATAGTCTCTGTGGCAGGCAGAGAGAAGGGAATTTCCTTTCTCCTGCTAGCTCATACTCCTACTTCCTCTACATAGCATTAAAGTAGGCAATTCCTGAAGGACTTGCTGGCTACTTAGATAAATCCATAGAGAATACCCATTTTTTCCCCTTTCAGACCTCTCCTTCCAAACAAGAATGATGAAATGTACCTCTCCCTTCCATCCAGTGGACAAAATAACTCATAACAATGCAGATTCTGAGTGTTTGTATTTTAAGAATGGGAAGCTATGCACCCAGCATCATAGCTGTGGGCACCAGTAGCAATAAAACAGAAATGCCAAGTTTGTGTGCATTATTTGTCATGCACTTTGCAATCCAGTTCAAATTTGGTACCGAACAAGCATGACTTACAGGCTAAAAGGATGGATGATGACAGCAACAAGAACAAGGAGACTCCCCGTAAAAGTCCTGTGTGTCTTATACCATACAAGAGAGGGAGCTCCCCAGGTTTATCCTTAGTTCTTCTGCTCCAACACACAACACATGTGGCTGTTTTTATCACTGCTGATTTTTGCTACAAGAAGAAAGGTGGTCAATGATGGTGGAAGAGCTTATGCGCTGACATCCACCAGTCCTACAGCAACAGGGACTCAGGTATTGTGCAGGGTGAAGATTTCTCTCCCTCTGCCAAACTATTTAAAAATCTTTTACCATTTAAAAATAAACCCTATTTTTCAAGTAAAGTTTCCTTTCATCTGCTCTGTCCTATTTATCACCTTTTGAATGTCAGAGATGTCAAATTATATATAACATGAGCCACCTATATGAAAGGAGATGGAAGCCAGGTAAACAGACCCAAACAAGTATGCTATGCAATCCACAGCGAAAATGTCCCACAGAGCTTACTCTCACTTGCTTCTGTTGAGTGATCCTTCCCTTTATGCTTTCAAGAGACTAACCATTCAAGAAGGCAAGTTACCTAAGTAATCAAGTTAAGCCAGCAGAAAAGACAGCATCAAGGTATCCTCCAGCACTGAGAAAGACTACAGGAGTTTATGAGAGGAGTCAGACTAGAAAAAAATTGCTTGGGGGTTAAAAAACAAATAAACAAACAAAAAATAGGAAGAACAGAACAGCACACTTCATCTTTGTGAAAGATGACAAATTTTAATCCCAGGACATAAGGCAGAGGATGCAGACCAGTAAGGGCACGTTAATGTCATGGGAGTCTAAGATGACTGTAAACCTGTGTACTGCTTGCATGGGATCTTTCCAGTGTAAATATTCCAAGTGCCATATGGAGAGAAGCATTCATAACCCTGTTCTGCTTTCCTAGGCTTTGCTTTCTGTAAGCTGCGTCTCTCTGGTACATTTTTATTTGTATATACATACTTTATTACTTAACTAACTTATACCACATTCACACACATAGCTTTCCAGGTTAGAGGCCACAATTGCACACATTCTTTCTAGATAATCCTGAAAGACATGGTAGTCCTAAACAGACCCAGGACGTGCACCAATTCCACATTTTCCAGTGTCAACATGAAAATGTGGTTCTGGCTGCTTTAATGGTATAATCTCATCTAAAAGTCAAAAAAAAAAAAGCATAAAGTGTGGATTAAAAACAGTGCAAGTTTTCTGAATCAATGATTTCCCACAGTGTCAATGAACAAGGGAATTCTGAAAGTAAAAGGAGGTTTGGCTAAAACGCGCCATGTATCTGTCAAAATCATGAGATACTCAACTACCCATAAAACAAACCTCTTAAAAATTTGCAGACAGCTGTTTGGACACACCTGGCCAACTTCAGACCACTTTCAAATGGATGACATGCCAACCAGATACATTTGTTTATTCCAGGTCTGAATCTGGACCTTCAGACATAGAGAGTTTCGTATTTGAAAGTTTAATAAATCATCACATTGTATTCATGATAAGGTAAGGAGCCATGCTAAAGATCATACAATTAACAAGGCCTCATTAGCTGAAGTTCTACTGGGATGGCAAATCAAACTTACTGAACAGCAAACCTGCCGACAGTCAGAATTCCTAATGCCACAGATGTGCATGTATTTAAATACATTTTTCAAATGAAATTGGCAAACAAATTGGCCTTTTTGATTCTGGCAGCATAACTGTAGTCCAATATCAATACTGCTGAGAACACCAGTCACTGAAAGAGGCAACTGTATCATAAGGTGAGATTACAAAACTCCTAAAACAGGACTCAGAACTGTGGAACTGTTCTGCATTCTGATTTATTTCTATTTTTAAACTTGCAAGACTTGTAATTAATGGCTTGAGAACATGAGGAGAATTGGAACAAATTTCAGCCTCAGCTTCCTCTGCATGTTGTTAATGGCTAGTCTGTCCACTAATGTGCTCCAATTTTACCCACATCAACCACATGTGACACAAGCTGCAGGAAAGCAAGTGAATTTTTAATCATCTCTCTGATGTACAGTACAATTGCTGACTTTTATCAGACAGTAGTTAAACAAAGACTTAGAAAGAAATAAATATTCCTTAATTGCACAACTGCCATTGCTCACAGTAGGAAAGCCTTTGAAATGAGTAACTGGTCCCTATTATCATGGCTGCACACATACTCAGACATGTACAAATAAGTTTAGATCAACACAGACGTTTATTTATTTCACAGCTAGGTATGTAAGTGTGTGTATGGGCTTATATTACAATGGAGAGCAATTATTCACGTGTGAGACTATCTTCCATGCACATGGGAAAAGCATGCCTCTGAGTGCATTTGTATACCCATACACATGTACATACAAGCTCCCAGTGTCTCTCACACAGGGAAAATCCTCCACACTGTGCCACATGCGATATATGGGTTTTACTCACATACTAACCTAGACAAATACATTATCTCATTTTAGCTGTGTAGAATTAGCACTGAGGCAGAGCGTGCAACGCATTTTTGGATCCAACTTTCCTTTTCTTACTCCATGTAAAACAGAAACTTTGACTCCTGGAGCATTACAGTCTTAAAAAGACAAATGCACATATTTACAGCCCTGAATGTAAATGACTCCCTTGGAGCTGACGTTTCCTTCTACCCCCAGGACATCCCAATGAAAGAAACCACGCGCTTTTATATCCACAAATGTCATCAGCACTTATTTCTGCACCTGTGATGCCTTGAGGACCCACCATAAGTTAAAAAAAAAAAAAGACATAAAAAAAAAAATCATACAAACAATCCCTCCCCAATACCAGCCTGCTGTCAAAATTGCTGAGAGCAGTGCCATAATGCATTTAGTTCATATCTAAAGGTATAATCAGCAAGGCACATGTGTGAACCTGCCATTCAAGAAATGCCCCAGAGTTTAGTACCCAAGTCTGAGGCAAGAAAGATACAAAAGAAGAAAAATAATAGTGCTTAACATCCAATTGTGAGAAGATCAGCCAGGAAATTACAAAAGCTGTGCCGATTTGGCAAATAAAACGTACAACATCTTATAGTGTGATATGGGCTCGCAAAAGTGCTGATAGTAGATTAAACACATGTACTCTACTGTTTTCAACAACTGCTGTTCTTTCCACTGTGCAGTTCCTATGGCTTTCCTTTTCCCTTTTAAGAAAAAAAGAAAACAAACCAACCCATCCCTATTCCATTTAGGGCGCCAGGTCTTTTGTACTAGAAATTGTGAGATACATGATCAATTTAGCATCGGACTCCAAACTTTGTAAGGGTACGCATGAAAGCTCAGAATTCAGCAGGGAAAGAAGCTTAGTATTAAGGGGCATTAAGTGCTGATTAAAGGCAACACCTCTCAGAACAACTCAGACTTTGTTCATTTTCCTCTGTTTGTCTCCAGCTTCAGTAGAGGGGTGCTGTGACACCAGTCCCCTCAGATTTTGCAGCAGATCTGGTAGCTCTTAAGTGGCTGTGAATAAAAGCCTGGCTTGCAAGTGCACAGCGACATTCCCCAATTTAAAGCTCTGCTTTAAAGGATTATTTGTCCCCAGGAGAACCAGTGAGACCAGGGTGCAGGTTGGTGTCCTGTTACCTTGCTGTATTCCTCCCAGGAGTTGCTCCAGGTCCAGTAGTGAGCCTTGTAAAGCCCGACTCTCACCGCCATCATCTCGTTGCCACGATAATAGAATATGGGCCTGAGAAGGAGAGCAGAGATGCATGAGAAACGCCAACGTGCCAGGCCTGGGCAGCCACCGCCGCAGCAGCCTCGCTGATAAGGGAGACAAACACTTTAATGGCATCTGACTTCCGATTCGGCTATCAGTCAGAAACAGGCTGCCTCCTAATAGTCTCCACTGCAAGGTTTTCAATTAACATTTTTTAAAGTGTTCATCAAGTTGAGAGCTCACAGGGCGCAAGAATGAAACATTATACAGCTTGGCTGCCAGTGATTGTTAATCCTTGAACTATCAGACCCTGTTATTTCCTACAGAGCACGCCGATTTAAACACCAAATGTCTCAGAAGTGGCGCGCATGTGCGCGCGCGCGAGAGAAACGGGGATTCACAGAATATGTGATGCTTAGCCTTCTCTTTAGGGCAGCACCAAGCTATGTGCCGTTAGTGTTGCATAGACAGGGTGGCTGGGGAGGACACCAGATGCTGGCCTGTTCTGGATGACATCTCAGAAAAACTCCATATGGAAAAACCTGGCAGCCAGACGTGCTTTATTTTTAACTCCTGTCCATTTTCTTTCCCCAAATCTCCCTTTGCATCATCGAAACATACCACTGTAAACTGCAGTTTTTTCCCGGAGGTTTTCCTAATTAAAAATACATTTGAGAAATGCACCTCACTTGGAGCATTTGGTCTGCACCTGTGTACATGGACTTCCCTTTCCCTGGGCATCCCAGCGATGTCCCTGTCGGTTTCCCCAATAACACACTCTTGTTTTTTGAGGGAACAGTACAAAATTTTACTGAAACAGACTATCTGCAGGAGAGAGGCTTGATTTCTTGGTGCGGCTCATCACACAAGGACATCAGACTTAGTCAGCTCTTCTCTCCAGTTGTTTCAGGCTGCTGACAGGGCGAGATGGTGAAGCTGTTTATCACTGTCAGGAGGGTACATACATCTTTGTCTCTCATTCAGAGATGCCACTCGGCAAAAACTACTCACTCCAGTGATGCCACCTTGAAAAAACAGTTCCTAATTGCAAGATAAGATTAAAATCTCCACATCTGAATGTCAGGAGTGGCCTTAGATCTCTTCTATTTTAAAATTGTAGCCTCCCCTGCAGGTTCCTTGCACAAACAATGAGCTTTTCCCCTTTGTCACTAGGAACTGCCGGTGAACAAAGGGGAAACACTGCTGCCAGCAGAGCCCACTCCCACATCCTTAACGCACCTGAAATGCCGGTGAAAAAAGGCAGCTTGAGAGATCTGCCAAAGTGCAGAATCTGATCTAAACCAGTCCCATTAACAAAAGCCCAAACAAATACGCCACAAAGTACACCAGTGTCCTTTTTCCTTGCCATAAACACTCACTATTTGACAAGCTCTTATGTGTCCCTTTGATTGAAGGTGTGGGGGTTAGGTTTTTGCTTTTTAAAAAAAAAAAAATTTTCCACCTTTGAAAGAGGATTACAGCTTATACTCAGAATTCCGCTATTACCAATTTCTTTTTCCCCCCCATTCACTTTTTCCTTTTTAAGCTTAAAAGAACACAACTGCATCTCCTGGAAAGTTTTTGGGGGCTGTGGAAACTGTGACCTGGTCAGGTCTGGAGGAAAAAAAAAAAAAGGAGGCAAAAAAAAAAGGAGGCAAAAAAAAAGGAGGCAAAAAAAAAGGAGGCAAAAAAAAAGGAGGCAAAAAAAAGGAGGCAAAAAGGAGGCAAGAAGGAAGAAAGAAGGAAAAAAAGAAGGAAAAAAAGAAAAATAAGGAAAAAAAAGAAGGGAAAAAGCCATTATGTGCCTTGAGCAACTGCTGTTGTAACACAAACAGCACCAGTTCCAAGGAGCTGGTGACTGCAGTGAAATTCTCTTTTAAAACAACAAAGAAGCTTTACAAACTTACAGAAGTAAAGATGGGATAGGCTGTGTTTGAGGAACCTGCAATGCCTCAAGTCAGCCACTGGCTGAGCTCTCAGGTAATACTGTACGCGTGCTTCTTGTGTGCTTCTTGCGTTAATGGGCACAAAGGCAATTTTATGGAACAAAGCCTTATGTCCAACACAGAAAAGAAGTCAAGTATGTTTTCCATGCATATGTTTCCCGTCTCACAGAGAAAGAATATGCTTGTATTCAGATTTCCCGGGCTGCCGACTTCCTCATCAAAATCACAACTATGAGACCTCTCTTGACCTCCAATCCTTCCAACAAGAGAGCCAAGGATATTTGCTGGCAGATCTCAGTGCCTGTACCAAAGAGCTGACAGCACTCCTCCATGCCCATGAAGATCCCAGGTCTTTAGCCCAAATCTATTCTTGCAAAAGTATCTGCAGAAACAGGACCTTGGGAGGAGGTGGGCTTCCAGTTCACACGCAGCAGCCCAGCCTTTACCTCCAACCTCTCTCAAGCTGGGGCTATAACGACCTAGCATGCTCTTGGATGTTTTTCCAGTAATAAATAATGTATTCTCCCCTACCCAGGCTACAGTTCTCAGGCTTTTATCTCCCCTATTGCCATATGTTGTTCCAGGGATCCCTGCTAACCCCCTGACATTTTCATCTGTCCCCAGACTCCACTGTATGGCAACATGCCACATGTCAGGAAATCCCACCGCTGCTTGCTCCACCAGAGAACTAGCACATAGCAAAAAGCTCTGGTGCTACCCCACCTCACTAAGCAGGAACAAAGATGCATCAATTCAGTTTATAAAATATTTCTGTAAACTTGATTTAAAAAATAACCCCAAATTTGGCATCACTTCAGTTCGGAGGCAAGGGTTGGAGCTCTGGGCTCATAACTAACCTGTCAATTAGCTTGCCCTGCAAGATGGCAGGTAAAAGGTCGATGCCGTCAATCTGCCTGTCACTGGGAGGCTGCAGTCCCGCCAGGGAGAGGCTGGTGGTGAAGAGATCCATCACACTGCCCAGCTGATGACTGACCTGAAAAATCAACAGAAACACATTTGCAAAAAAGACCTTCAGTAAAAGCCAAAATGAAACAGGCTGGTTTCCACCAAAGCAGAAGTATTGCTTCCTGAACCTCCTTCTCCGCCAAGCATCTTTTGAGATTATCTCCCTTTACAGTGCTGCAGTCACCAGCAAACCTCCTATTAAAATAATAAAGGAAAGGAGATGATCCATATTTCTCCACTGCTAGGGAGCATTTGCATTTTGATTCATTTTTTCATTTTCCTCTCTTTCTTCTCACTTTTCTCTCTGTATCCACTTTACAGGAGCATGTTTTCACAGAGATCAACTTAATTTAGCAAAGTCCAAGTCATTTATGGATTGAAAAAATTAGCACTTAAACCAAGAAAAAGAAAGTCCTTGATTTGTTCCTTCTCCAGGTCATCTCTGGAGTCCAGAATAACCTGAGAGAGTCCCCAGAAAGCACAGGGATAGATGGATAATAACAAAAAGAGCCTGATGACTTCATCTGCAAACCATTTCCAACAATTCAAAAACTGTAAAGTCGTGGTATTTTTAGTATATATTTTAATAAGGGAGAAAAACATCTGGTTTTGGCTCCAATGGAGATGTGCAAGCATTTCCACACACCCCCCCCCTTGCTTTTTTCTTTTTTTTTTTTTTCCTTCCTTAATTGGAAGCCATACTTATCTCTCTGGTCTTAATTATTTATATTTTTAAAACCTAAAAGTCTGTTCTGACTGCTTCTTTCTGAATCTTTGCTCCCACCCTGCTTGTGGTATGCTACAGTTATCTGCTGTAGGACGTTTAACTAGCCAGCAACACACTAAATTGAAGCAGATGCATTCAAATCCAGAGCAAAACTGTTTTGCACCAGGATGCACCAGCACAAGATGCAACATGAAAAGAGCCTTTTCAGCCATACCATTTGTTCGGAAACAAGAAGCCATCTGATACAAGTCCACATCTGTAAGTACAGAAGCACTTTCTGACTGAAATCCAAGTCCTAGCAGCAGCCTTGCGAATGTCAGTGTGAACATTACGATGCTGGGACTATCAAAGACTTTTTATCTCTGAATCCTCTTTCTACTCACAAACAGACTCCCAGCCTGTAAGCTGACACTAATTATTTAAGTATGACAACAAATGATAACATGATAAATGAATTTTGGTGAGATGCTGGCTCTAGAGAGAAAAACTAAAGGGAAAATGCTATTTTTGCTGGAACACTAAGCCTTTTATTAAGACACCAGGCTGAAAAAAGTGAACACAAAGGAAGAACAAACAGGTTTTTTTTTAAAAAGAAACTGGAGAAAGCAACATGCAGAGGACTAATTACAAGTCTAAAATTACAGTATCACATTACTTGATTACAGTAATTTCAAATTTTAATAGCTTTCATTCATCAAAAGGTGTTGCCAGGAACACATGATATTAAAGTTGCGTGCAAGAATACTTCCACAACTCTTAAGAAGAAATCAAAGTGCAAAGCTCTAAGCCCAAGAGGAAGCCTGACCGTGGAAACCCTTGCCCAGGAAAGCAGTTGGATCAGTTAACCAGGATCAATAGGTCTTGCAGAAGGTCTCAGACATTTGAGGTTAAGCCTTATTCATGGACATTGCTGCAGCAGGCAGCCTGAAAGAGGTCATGCTCAGCCTGTCCTTGTAGAAAGTGACAATTAGACATGAGCCCACAAATCCCTCACAAAAAGCAGATGTATACATGAAGTTCCCTCTCCGTATGGAGAAAAGGATGGGGATCTTCTGGTACACAGCTGTGGAGAAGGAAACAGAACTGAGCCCTCCGATGGGATAACCTGGCTTCTTGCTCTCCCCGGGGCCATTTGGCAAACGTGGACCGCCGAGGAGAACCAAAGCTGGCTGTGTTGTCCTTGAGGTTAACTGTGGCAGACAGTGCTGTGTGCCCCCTGGACCGTCCCCCTGCACAGGCTCTTCTCTGGTCTCGGGTGTGCACTCAGAAAGGACTGACACCTTAAAAAAACCAGTGCACCAAACCAAAAAAACCCCAAACATCAGGTCACTCCTTACAGAGCTGGACAGCTTCGTGAGCCACTGGTGTTAGGAACGCTGCGCTCCCTCTGAAGTCAAAGGGGATTACATGCGCTTAGCATCTCAGCAAAGATGCTCAGTCCCTCATAGGCTCATCTGCTAGCTAATTTACCCTGAGCATGCCTTAGGAGAGCTGCGGGGTCAGCAGAACACCATATGCAGAGCTCGGAATCTAATAAAGAGGAGATCTGGCACACGCCTGCTCCCTGACAACTGCTACGTCAGGAGCAGGCGGGCAGACCGGTGGCTGAGACTTTTTGTAATTAGACCTCTCACAATTTAGAAGGCACATCCAAAAGTCACTTTTCTTGTCGCTCCATTCCCTCGCCTCAATCTTTTGATAACAGGCAGCAAGAGGCAACCGCTGACCTGAGACTCGTGCCTCTAATATCACCTAATTTATACATCGCGTAGTGACAATCCGGTGGGGCCACCATGGTCTTCTTGTACTGGCCCTTATTAACCATAACCAGATGTAGATGACTCTCTTTAATCATCCAATTACGTTTCTGGTCTCAGACAACATTTTTCCGTGAAGCAGAGAAAACTTCTTACGGAAATTAAATGCCCATGCCACAGCCACTTGGATTTATCTGTGCTCTGCAGCATCACATTGAAGAAAGGGGAAAAAAAAAAAGGTTAATATTTATATAAAACTTTGAAGTATTTTCAGAGAAAAATACAAAAATTACCATTTTCTCCTGTCAACAGTGCTCTTTCATTCTAGTTGCCTTTCCCATTTTTTATTTTTTTTTTTTTAAGAAAAGAAAAAGAAAAATCCAGAGAGGGCAACAGCCCAGAGAAAATAAATAATATATAAAAAGGAGTGAGATCAGATATTGCTCATATCAGTGAGAAACAGCCGGTATTACGCACGTAAGAACGGATTTTTCCCCCCTCCTTCCCCCCCTTCTTTTTAATAAACTCTCAGTATACACATAACGTCTTTAAGAAAATGAAATCCTTTTGCTGTGGGCCACGTCGCTAGAAGAAATAGTCACCACTGCTGTTATCAGTGCTTTCAAGCTTTAACTCTGAATCAAAGGCGACAATTAATAAAGTCGCCCCCGCCAGGAATGGAAAGGAGGAAAGCTAAATATTTGAAACTGGGTGAACAAATGTCAGGGTGTTTTTAAATAAAATCCTTTTACAGTTATCACAGCGAGCAGACCTGATATCCCTGTCTAATTCAATTTCAATTTGCGCCCCATGGGAGATAGTGAAGAAAAGGTTGCAATGCTGTCTTTGGGTTGATATGTTCTTTTCTCCTTCAGGAAGCAGGCACGAGAGAGGAAGGGGAGGAGGGTGAGGGAAGAGAGGAGGAGGATTCAAATACCAACAGAATATGATTCTTTTTTTCTCTCCCTTTTTTTTTTTTTTTTTCCAGCTGGATCCTTCCAGAAGGCAGATGTGATGTGGGGAATGTTGAAATGCTGATTTGTTGTGAATTCACCTGGAAAACGTAGCTGAGGAGGAAACTGCAGAAAGGCTGTTTGTGTACAAATAAATATTCCTGACGGGGGACCAGAATTAACTGAATGTTGATGCCAAGAGCAACACGCACTCCCGAGGCATCCCTCTCCCCCCAAAAACTGCAAATCAGCCAACTGCACCAATTATCCTAACCTGTATCAATATCCTGTCAAGTGTTCACAATCCTGTCACCTAACTTCTTTTGTTTAAATAAAAAGGTACTCCTTTATTTCAGCAAACACATGTACCCTTTAATAGAAACAAAAAAACCCCACCCTATATATCAATAAGATTATTAATAAACTGCCAGATCCCATCAGCGGAATGAGCCTTCCACCCAGTAACTGGATTTCACTGGCCAGAGACACAAGCCCTCTTTTTTCTGGCTGCAGTTGTGCCAACTGAAACAGTTGCTGGCCCTCCGCCTGCTCCTCAAAATGTCCGCGGCTGGAAACGAACAACCATTACACTGGGAGCAACACCAGCCCAGGAAGGAGGAGTTGACCCTTCAGCTTTGTGCTTGGCACTCCTGAGAAGCTTTTTGCTTCCATCCTGGTTCAGGGCTCCCAAGCCTTTTTTTCCTTCAACTCTTTTGAAAAGAGAGAGCAATGAGAGACTTTGAAGCAGTTTTCCCATGTTTTACAGATTCTTGGACTACACGGGGCTTAAGCTGACTAGTTTAAACTTGCAATCAAGAAGATTGAAGCTACAGACTCCATAAGATACAGAAAAGAAGCCAAAAACGTACTAGCAAACACGTCTCTTCACTTACTGTCAGTGAAAGAGGCAATTATGAAGCAGTAACTACAGGTGCCCTACAGGCCAACGTAGCGTGAGCTGTATTACGCAGAAGCAATGCCAAACCTCTCACCTGCGGTCAGTGCTGCTGTGGGTACCAGTGCTGGAGCCTCGATGGCAAGAATACAAGCAGAAAAGACATATAAGTAGCTATCACATATTTACTTATCAGTAGCATCATACGGGGGCCTAACTCACAGCAAAGCAGCACATCCTGGGGACAGAGTTCAGAAGAGGCTTCTTGAGGTACCAAGTGGAGTCCTAGAGGACATTTGGGCGTGTAACGTGCAGATATGTGGCAGGCAGCATCGTGAATTGGAGCCCAGGATAGGAAGGATTTAAAGTTAAGCACGTGCTTAAGTGCCAAGGATGGTATCAGCAGCGGTGGAGGAGGGGATTTTCAGGCACGTACCTGCCCTAATAAGCCTTAAGCACACTCTCCAGCTCGCTGAGCATGCATGGGCTTATGATAGTATGGCGTTGGTCAGTCCACCCACCTATGCAAACATGTTAACTCTGCACAGAAATGACTGTTCACAGGAATTCAAACAGCAGCTTCAACTATGGCCTCAAGCAGAAAGCCATGCCTCACACCAGGCTACCGAGAACATTTTGCATTACATAAAGCTTCGCCGCTGCACTACATGCAAAAGACTACCTGTGAGAAGGGTACCAGCCAGTTACAGTTAGAAAATAAGCAGGCACAATGATTTCTTTACTCATGTTCTTAATTATCCTCAGAGTTACTACAATGGAAAGAATTTTTAAATTTGGTATTTACTTGTTCCCATTTATAATGCATGTTTACTTTTAGCACATTATTTAGTTTGGACATGGAAAACAAAACAGTCAGCTTCAGTTTCATGTTCTTGTATGCTAGCCCAAGGCTGTTGTACTTGGCTTGTAAAGGCTTTATGGAAATGTTTAAATTTAAACAAAAAGACTGTTTTCATTTCAAATTAAAAAAATAATAAAACATCCCTAGTAGGTTTTGTGAACTCTTTAAAAATGATGAAACCAAACTACCCTCCTGCCCTCAGCTGCAGATCTAAGCTGATGGCTTCCCCCTAAATGTAAACGATAAATTATCATTATCCTGACTCAATTAAACCACCAAAGAGGAATGCAACTTAGAAAAATGTTTTATTTATGAATAGTTTGCAGTCTTAAGCACAGTGCCCAGTTAATGAAGTATCACTTTCTTCAGGGATAAGAGATGCTCACAAAGGGGAGGGAATCTGTATTATTTACTGTGAACCCTGCCTGCAGAAGAATTGATTGCATCCTTCTTTAATGAGAACTGGGACAAATGAGGCTGGTAGTGCCACTGGAGGATTATTTTGAAGTGATCATATCTGAATTTGTGTACAGGCAGGAAAGAGGAATAGTCTGGTATCTAGACCTCCCTGAGTGGAACTTTTATCAAACACCAAAGCGAGAGCTGTGAGGGTCAAATCACTTGATACTCCAGGGCACAGAGAGTGTGTGTGGGCAACACACTCCTGTTCGACACTGGGACACATATTAGCAACGTGTCTTTATACTCCAATTCGTTCAAACGCGTAACCCACTAAAAATACTGTTGTCCAAAAGAGTAAAGGGTTTAGACAGAGCAGGAAGACAAAAAGACCAGACCGCTCAGTGCTCGCAGAAGTGTTGATCATAGACACTCTAGATGTAAATTTGCAATAATGAACAGGAATGACATCATTCTCTAGCGGCAGTGTTCAGCTCCTTATTTAGACAAGCATCTGGACTGATGCATTGGGCATGTTAAAAGTCTCATCCAAAGCCCACTGAATCCAGCAAGAACCACTCCATCCACTTGAGTCCACTTAAGACCAATCAGAATTGTTCAAAGCAGATACTCACCCCTCCTGCAGGTATATGTCCAGGCCACCAAGCAATAGCCGGCTCTCTCATGCCACCTTCAAAGGTGGTTTGTTTACCACACAGAAAACGACCATTGCTTCCTCCTAGAGGGAGAAAAGAAACCATAAAAAACACGATATGCCAATATCACACTTCAAAGGGACACTGTCAACTAGGAAATTTTTAGGCTCGTTTTAAATGAATTTTCCTTTCTGCATGAATGCCTCTTCAAATAACATGTCCAGAGTTGTTTTGGGGTGGGCCTTTTTTCATTGTTGGTTTGTTTGTTGGGTTGGTTTTTTTTAAATATCCATTTGTGATGAAATTTTAGAAGTGTCTTTTCAGCACAGGGAAAAAGTGACAGTTAAACACAACTTTCTATCAACCAAACAAAGAAAACAGAACCCAAACAAACAGAAAATATTTCACTGGCATTTTCCTTCCCTTTAAGGATGTTAACTGTTGTTTGGAACTAAAGGAAATATGACACTTTTAGGGAGAAATAGTATTTTTTTCACAATCCTTTTAAAGCACCAGAGCAGTATTAGATGCAGATACAAGAGTGAGAAAAATAATCATGCATTCCCTGAATGTTCACTCTCAGACATAGCAAGTGCTTTGGAGGAATGTCTGGGTTTTTAACCCAACCTTGTAGCTAAGCTTGCTGAGGAACAAACAGGGAGGTCTTGTGACTGATTCCAGGTCACACAAAGTCAAACACAGTGGTTCAGCTGAAATCAGAACTCAGGATACTCCCTGCTCTGTGGTCCAATAGCCACGAAACAGCCTGCCTCTAAATAGAAGAGAGTGGGTTCTAAAATCAATTTGCAATGACTCTGAGAAACAATCATTTAAACACAGGAAAACTTGTAAAGTAACAAAAATACTTTTTCTTCTTGCTATTTTTCATGAGAGCTAAAGAAGAAGGGACTCCTGAACTCTCTGTAATTACTCAGAAAGCTCAAATATGCATTTGGCAGATGGAGAGTAAAAACCCTGCTAAGTTACTGTGCCTGGTCCTAAATAAATTAAAAAAAAAAAATCACCCCCTGACAGTGGAGCACAAAGTGGAAATGCACATAGGTGAAGAGCCACACTGGGTTAGGCCAAAAGTCCATTTAGCCAAGGATACCTCCTTCAACAGTGAGCAGAAGTAATGAACATAAGCTAACTCTAAACATAAATGCTCTGCATTTTGAGGCTTCTCCTAACTGCATAAAGGAAAACCCCAGGTACAGGTGTGTCTACCCCTCAGACATAGAGATTTAAGCCTTGATTTCACAGCCCCAGACCAGATTTGTTCCTCTGAGACTCACCTTGTTTAGGAGCTGAAACGAGAGCAGCCCCATTATCAGAAGTGAAAAACACAAAAGTCTTCTCGCTGATACCCAGCTTCTGAAGATGTTTTAGGATTTTTCCAATGCTATCATCAATTTCTCGCACAGCATCCCCATATCTGAGGCAAAAGTAGATGCAAAACATTAAAGGCAGCAAAGGAGGAAAAGTGTCACACAGCATAATGCATTGCAATCAGCCACAATGCTTTCAGTGCACGTAAGTTATACCTGTGCTGCAGAAATACTGCTCTTATGCATCAGGTACTGTAATAAAGTTTTCCACCGTCACTGCAAACCCCGCGTCTCTTGCCTGCAGAGAGCAACCTCTCTTGGATATCAAGAGTCAGAATTGTTCAGATGTGAGCCACTCTTGGGCAGAAACCAGCAACTGATACAAATTTAGCTACAAAGTTCTCAAATATAGGCAAAGCCACTTCGCCATAGACTTGAAGCTAATAACATGGATTTGCTTATGGATGCCGGTTTGAAACTGCGCTCTCAGAAGCAGGGCTCACAGTATCCACAGAGCTTTTTGCCTCCTGTAAGTTGTGTTTTTCATGCATGCTTTTCTACTTGCTGGTCTGATTTATAGGCTTTTAAAACAGGCATTGATCATACAAAAGCCTTCCAAAAAATCATCTGTGCCACATACAGCACTTCATTACTCACACAACTGGCAAAGGAGCTTAGACTCCCCCTTCACCCCCATATTAGTCACATGATCTTCATTTCAGATTATGGCAAAATTATTAAAGAACAATCCAAGCAAAGTCCTCACTAACTAGTGTATTTCAGCACACACATACATTTTTGAGAAACGATCTATATACTTGGTTTTAATAAACATTACTTAGGTTTTCTGTTTCTGCAGCATGAGGTATTAATTAAAAAAAAACAAAAACCCAACAAAACCAACACCCACAAAACCAAGACTTACAGTCCTCTCTGACTAGTGCCCAGGAACTGTTTGGAGGCATAAACAGGAGCATGGGTAGCATCAATTGCCCAGTATAAAAAGAATGGCTGCTGGCTGCCCTGCTGCTTGCTAATAAAATCGAGAGCTTCCTGTAAACAACAATAAAAATGAATTTAATGGAATCATTCTCTGCCATCTAAATCTCTGCATAAAAGTCACTGCAGCTTAGAAACCAGTATTAAAATAGACAGTACCTGCAGGTAGATCTGAGTCAAGTTGGCTTCACCTGTCTTCCGATCAATTTTGAAATCTTCATAATACCTTAAGATAAAATGAATCAGAGAGAAAAAAAAAAATCAATCCTAAGGAATATACAACATAAAAAGGCCTTTCTTCCCTTACTGTGTAAGCAGGTGACAAACAGGTCACAGTTGCTACTCAGCAAACTCTCTTCAGATATTAAAAAGAATGTCACCATATTTTTTCTTACGGGAGAAAGCAGTGAAACAGCTAGATCCAAATTAATGACAACTGCAAGTTTTGGACAGACCCGAGCCACCAACCTTTCACTGTTAAGCTATTAGACTAGGGGTAGTATGCTTAAAGATCTCATGCTGCTACTCTTTCAACAGAGAGGTGTTTGAAAGAAGAGTAAAATTTTCAGAAGTACACAACAACTTCCAGTGAGATAGAGCAATTCTGGAATCAGAACTTGGGCTGCTTTGAAAACTTTATGTTAGAAGTATCTTTGGACACTCATTAAGCAAAGAAGGGCAGAGGGCAGTCCTCAGGAGAATAACAGCAAGTGAAATAAGATGATAACAGACTCAAAAGTGAATGGACAAGAATGGCACAGACTGCAGAGCTGGAGCATAGAATGGTGTTACGCAAACAGACAAAAGGTTATTACAAACAGGAAGAGAAAGAATAAAGAGGTCTTTCAGTACAGAATGGAACCAGCTTCCAAGAGAAGTAGTGGAGTGAAATCATCACAGGAAGCCTTTAGGGTGCAATGGGATAAGCAAACATCTCTGAGGGAGGCACTCTAGAGCAGTCACACCCCTAGAGGGTCCACATGCAACTTGCAGGTTGGCCTTGGTACTCAGAGCTTTATTAATCCTCAGAATCAAACATCTAGCTTCATATTTAATGAGCTTCAACTTTAAATTTAGATGCTAAGGTAGAGATGAAGAAGACAGGATTCCTGCAAAAAGTGATTTAGGAGTTTAGAATAAAGTTTAGTAGTCAGCTACCATGCTTAGTCTCTGAGGGGCATCAATACCATAGAAGTAGGTCTGTATTGTCTCAGCTTTAAGTGGAAAAGTCAGAGTGCCACAATCACAACTGAGAAGCACCAGGCACTGCCCACACAACCATGCTTGAGTACCCTTTGCTGCCAGCATTGCCTTCAAAATCTCTTCTTCCCCCAGGAAGGACTATCCTTGCTTCCTCTCCTAGATGTGAAATTCACATACCTCTTGACGGTTAATCTATACCTTCCTGTTTCTGCCTGTCTTGTGTGTTTTCCCACAAGGCTTCCCCTTCAGTCTGTCTTAGCTCCAATGGAAACCACCACCCAGGCCTTGTAAGGCTGGATATTGGCCATCACCAGACTAGGGGGAAAGTCCTGTTCAAAAGTAAAAGGGCAAAGCAAGAGATGAGATCCTGGCACAGGATGTTGTAGAGTCCAGAAATACAAATGGGTTTAGAAGAGAGACAGTTCATGGAAGTTAAGTCAGTGGCTATTAAGATCTGGACACAACCTTCAGTTTCAGAAGGTGGACAACCATACAAGAGAAGGACCATTCCACCTATCCATTTTCTTATACCCTTTCTGTAGGCATTCACTACCAGTGGTCATTGCACAGTATAATGGATTAAATGGGCCTGATCCAGAAGGGCTGTTCATGTGTTTCATGACCTCTTACAAGCACCTTTCCTGCACTGGCTTACTGCTGAACTGCAGGATATTCAGGGCACTCTGAATAAGTAAGCGTCTCAGATCATATAAGAGTCAGGATATTCCCAATGCTTGACATGCTACCAAAGTCCTCTGCATAGGGTAAAGCACTTGTAGATCACTGCCCATCCACCTGAGTCTGTAACTCTGATTCTGAAGCAGCTGCTGTTTTTGCCAACCCCTTTTCATTGAAATGGGTTTGCTACGCTAGCACTTATCTTCCAGCACTGTAATGTCAGCAGGGAAAGCAAAGAAAATAACATTACCAGGCAAGTAGCTGAATTACCTGCCAATCATTTCCCAGTCCCTATACACAGGGATATTGGGGAGCGCTCTGTTATCAAAAGGTCCAAAATGGCAGTTTGGGGACCCGAACCATTCATCAAACCCATGCTTCAGGGGGTGGAACTGGGGCCTGTGACCCAGATGCCTAGGAACAAAAGCAACAGAGGAATTAAAATTCTACTGCAAAGAAGCAAATAATAATCTCATCAGAATGGCATGCAAGAAAACAATCTTTGCCTAAGAAGAAAAACTTCAAGCATTTTAATCAAATAAATGATTGCAGACCACTGTCTTGATCTTCCTCATACTTGTTGCAAACACATCCATGCAGACTCACTCCAGTGCTTACATATATCCCATTTTAGTCTACTGTCCAATCTTTGTTTTCCATTATTTCATTCTATTGGTGTCTTTTCTCATGCTGTCTCGATGATGTGTACTGATGGACTACACTGCCCAAAGCCATTGTGAAGACGCACGTAATGTTTTACTTAAGGATTCTGATCTATGACAAGTCACTTTTATACCACTAAGCTGTAAAAACACAAGGTAAAGCTCATGAAATGTACCATTATATCTGCATTCCCTTTATGGAGTATTCATGCTGCCAAAATGGTACAGAGACACCTGAATGTAAGTGAGAATGAGTTCTTTATGTGCACATGTGAACACAAAACACATTTAGCTACTCCTGATGACAGTACCATTCTACTACACAGCTTGAAAAATCTCCATTCTTAACTTCAAGATGAAGCTCCTCTCTAATCTCCAACTTCTGTACTGCAAATTCTACATTTTCTTCATTTATACTATCTTGAAGATACAGAATGGCCATCCTCTCCCGGTCTCTAAAGGAGACATTTGTAGCTAAATGTTTATTTAATCATTCCAGTTTCTACTCACAAGCCTGTACCTGCAACCTGTCCATTTTGTGCCATCAGCCTCTGCACACTTTCTGAACATAAGGGGCATAAAATGCATTACCTGAAGTAGAATGATCCATGGTGTTATTCTGAGCTATTCCAAAATGAGTTATAACAGAAAATAATCATCATTCCAGCTATGATCATATCTTGGTGATATAACTAAAATTGCAAGTCTGACCTGAAGGATTCTACCCTTTCCTCATTTATATACATGATAAAACAAAGCTATTCCCAGCTGTTCCTACAACAGGGGACACAAAAAAATATTTTATTCTAAGAAAGCCCTAAGAGAACTTACAGAGGAAGAGACCTGAAAAAGGTATCAAATAATTACTGAGATGCACATTATTCTCTCCCTCTCAAAACACAAAAGATAAAGAGATTTAATAAAATGCAACAAGTTCTACAACGGTCATGGAAAATACTTGACTTGCAAACATATTATTAAACTGTGGAACTTACTGTCACAGGACACCCTGCAAAGTCTTTAGAAGGGATGTTGAAAGGATATAAAAATCTTCTTCTGGAAAACTTAAAAATCTTTAAAAGCCTTAAAATTTTGTGCGTGGCTAGGATGAGACTCCAATTTAACTACTGTACTGTGTATTTCTTTGCACCTTTCTAGGAAGCAGGTGGTGTGCACAAATGACAGGACTGCTGCTGTACAGTATCACTCCCTAGTCCTGTCCAGGGTAACAGTTCTTGGGCGCACAATGATAGTGCGCTGCACATTCATATTTAGTCTGCTTCTTGCTAACAGCTGCAGGTCCTTCCAGATTTGCTGTTTTCCAAATAACTGCCTGGAACCAATCTGTATTTGCGTTGTTTATTTCTTTTCCCTGGGTGTATGAATTTACATTTATTAGCACTGAACTGCATCTTATTGCATTCAGCCCACTGATCCGATTCTTTACGGCCACTCTGCTGTTTGGATTTGTGGTAATAAATAATTCACTGTCTTAGGTTAGTTTGCTTTCTTTCCAATTTCAGCAGCACCGGTGAATCCAACCACAATTCAAACTCACTTTTCTCTAACTTGTTAACAAAACTGTTAAATAAATTGTAACGCATTACTTTCCTAAATAATATTCCCCTGATACTACTCCTGTCCGAAGTCTCTTCATTAACAATTACTCTGCTAACCAAGCAGTACTCCTCTGGTGTCTGTGTAGTTTTGAAGTTGCTATTTATGCATTTATTTATTACAGCATTGTTACAAACTGCGAATCAACTGTTCAGAGATCCCCAGGCCCCGTGGGATTCCACGACAGCCCACAAGTGCATTTGAAATTCGAATGTTACAAATGCACCAGTTTCAACTATTACACTGGTAATTCCACTGTTTGTTTGATCTGCATACCTTTCAGGCTTTTCCCTTCTGATTCTTTGCAGACATCACAAAACATTGGTTTTTAGTTCTTCTGTATCCTCTGCAAAGATTATACAGTACTCCCATGGAAGTCCATCAAGTCAAAGGACGACATTCACAGAGTATTGGATCAGCCTTCTAGGTCTTTTAAAACACCTGGTATCAACCATCCTGATCAAGCCTATTCCTATCCACCCTGACCTTCTACATTCGATGAACAATCTTCAATGTAGCCCTGGAGATGTCTGCATCTCTATTTCTACACCACACACTTCTACTCCCCCAAAAAGAAGCTTTCACAATTAAGTCTACTCTATTAACAAAAAACCCCAACATATAGCAGGGGCCAAAGATAAAAAGCACATAGGTGCTCAAGGCAAGTTCCAATAGAACATCTTGGTGTTATTTGACTAAATCAAGCAGTGTGATACATGGATGAAAGCACAAAGAGTTGAAGGGTTTATAAATATAGATATACATACAAAAAAACCCCTTCAACTCTTTGTATGAAGATACATGTATGCACTTGTAATGGTAACACTCAATTCAGAAATTGATCACAGCAGGGATCCACCACATTTTTAAAAAGTTGGACATCTGAGCTCCACAACAGTTTTTTCCCTGTAGTTCTGCTTGTTCTGCTGCCCTTTCACAATACATACACACACATACTGAAATCTCAAAGCAAGAGATCTTAAAATAATTTTACCATTTGCCAATGATCTTATTGATGTAGCCAGCTTTCTTCAGCAACTCTGGAAGCAGTAATTCAGAATCTGCAATTCCTCCTACTATATCCTGTGGTGTGTATGCTGCATAAAACAAACAAACAAGCAAAAATCTTTCCAGCTCTTACAAATATTGGAGCAAACAGCTCATGGCTACCCATCATTAGAAGCACTGTTACTGGATCAGAAATAGCAATAAGCTTAAAGTCCCAGCAATATCACTCCTTGGGAGTCCTCCCAGGCCACGAGATAAAGAGAACAAATTGGTTCAGAGAGATCAAAGGGAGATCTCCACCCACTTGCACACCACTGCCAATAATAGAGAGGGCTGCCATCACAGAATGAAGGCAAGACCCTTGGAAGGGGGGGGGTGTAATAAAAAGAGCAAGTACTTTAGGTGTGCATTGGAGTTGCCTTTACTCTTGCAAATTTGCTGTATATTTTCTAAAATGAGGGCATTTTTTTCCTAAATCAAATGATCGAGAAACTTGCTCAGACTGCAAGACCTGAAAAAAAGATATGTCTCCCATAGTCCACAGCTCTCTGGCCCTTGAGAATCTAAGGTGTGACTTTGGTTAGGACAGAGATAGCCAAGCAGGCTTGCTGATACACAGTGTGAATCAGTACATAGCTGCTGATTCTTGCCCAAGCACGCCCAGGCACATGGCATCTTTCACACTGGAACTAATCACAGGAATCAAAATCAACCCAGGGTCCTTATGAACTGGTAACCTTCCCTAGAAGCACCACTGGCACAACAGTGCTTTAAAACTTCCAAGGCTGAAATGGTTAGAAAACTGGCTGCTGAATAAAACTGTTAGCAGCTTGTTCTTTACTCTGGGTGTTAACATACACCCCACGTGACTTTCTTTCACCAGACACCAATCAGCCTGCCCAGAGGAAACACTTCTCAGCCAGCAGAAGCAAATGGATCAACCAGCCTTGTTTATCTCTCTTAATTTGAGGAGGTTTTCTGCTTGATGAGGAGGAAGCAATAAATTTCACGCTTATTACCATCAGTTAACATGGTAATCTTTTTGTGCCATTCTGGAAGATCCATAGGGGAAGATCACCGAGCCAAGCCTTTGTTCAAAGCAAGACTTCCTACAAAGCACAGAGGGAAATCAAGAGAGGAAGGCAAATCAGGAATGAAGCCCATACCGTTTCTGGCATGTGCATTTGTGGTGTAAAAACCATTCCTCACTGGGAGACGGCCTGTCAACAGTGCTGCCCTTGCTGCAAACAACAAAAAACATTTTATTTTACATGCATTCTTTGCTTAATATTAACATTAAGGCTGAGGACAGTGCTCTGACTGAAGGATGTCAGTGTCCTTTTGCCACAGCCAGCTACTAAGATCACTCACATTGGAACAGGCAGCAACTCCTGTCTCCAGTGAGCCATGGAGAGAGCCAGGTTCTGATATGACACCATTTGAGTTATTCCAGGACAAACCCGACTGAAATTTGGCTCCTCTATTAAATTATCCACTGCTGAAGAATAATTACTTTCAATAGTCAATGTAGCAGCCCTTCTAACTCAGTAATTATAAAAGGAATACCTGACATATATATTTAAGAGGAAATCATAACACAAACTGATTACACGCTTAAGGCTAAGTTTTCAAGCTTGCCTGAACAAAAGTCATGTAATAGCAAATAAAGAGCTGTCCAGCTTTGACAATACAAGTCAGGTCCTGACTGTAGGGAACATTTAAACAGATGTTTAACTTTAAGCATATGCAGTACCACCACTGGAGCTAGGACTTCAGCATATTTCAAATGCCTTTTCAGAGCAAGGACGTCATCAGCACACTGACAACTTATATCCTAAATGAAAGCCCAAATAAAAAGCCCCTGTTCCTCATTGTTGTTTCAGTTCTTGGCTGCCAATCAAGTTAGAGGAAAAAAGAAAGAAAAAAACCAACATCCCCCAGAAAAAACAGTAAGGATAAAAATATCTGTGTCTCCCAGACCCAAACGTTTCTTTTATCTCTTGTCCCTTCCCCAAGAATCTTGCAAGCCACCAGGGTCAACAACAGGACACAACGTGCTGCCATTCCTTGCATGAAAGTCTCACCACAGCCAATAGAATCAGACAAACTACGTACAAACTATGTTCAGCAACAATTTAGATACTGCTTTGTCTGTTTGTCCCAAAATAAGAAAGATGAAAAAATGCAATGACTGAGGCTAGAATACTAAACCATAATGTAAAAAAATCCTTTAGCTAGACTGATTTGATCACTAAAACAGCGCTTTGTATGAACTGAAGATTGTAGGTTTTCCAATCAAAACATAAATAAAAAGGGAGCAAAATGCAAGATCAAAGCACCAAATCCAAACTCTGCCCTGAGGGTAATCACTGGTTTGGTTGCTAGTTCATGTTAGATGCTGGCAAACGTCCCAATCTTCTCAGAAGGTGGCATGCTTATATGCTAGTTTAAAACTCAAGTTTACTTACACGGAGAACAGAGGGGGTTGGCAGTATAAAAATCTAGGAAAAGCATCCCTTCTGAAGCCATCTGGTCTAAGTTAGGAGTTTCCTTAGAAGGCTCTCCAAAAGCTCCCAAATCACCCCAACCCATCTGTAAAAAGAACACACCAAAAGATGTAAAAGTACTTTCACTCTTCCACAATGACAATGCTTCTGGGCCCACATAATGTTCATGTTCAGTTTTGGGCCCCTCACTACAGGAAAGACATGGAGGTGCTGGAGCGTGTCCAGAGAAGGGCAACGAAGCTGGTGAGGGGCCTGGAGCACAAGTCTTATGAGGAGCGGCTGAGGGAACTTGGGTTGTTTAGCCTGGAGAAAAGGAGGCTGAGGGGAGACCTTATCACTCTCTACAACTACCTGAAAGGAGGTTGTAGTGAGGTGGGTGCTGTTCTCTTCTGTCAAGTAACTAGTGATAGGATGAGAGGAAATGGCCTCGAGTTGCACCAGAAGAGGTTTAGATTGGATATTAAGAAAAATTTCTTCACCAAAAGGGTTGTCAGGCATTGGAACAGGCTGCCAAGGGAAGTGGTTGAGTCACCATCCCTGGAGGTATTTAAAAAGCATGTAGACTAGGCACTTCAGGTTGGACTTGATGATGTTAAAGGTCCTTTACCACCTAAATGATTCTACGATTCCATAACACTTTTATTGTATACCTTCATTTCTGTATCTTTATAATGCTCATCTCCCTACTTAGGGAGTACCTCACAAATGGGATAAAAATGAACTTCCCCAAACCTGTGAAGTGGGGAACTATGACGCTTTTCACTGGCGAATGGGAAACCGAGGCACACATGAGATTAAATAACTTGCTAACAGGCATTAAAACACTTGTAGCAGAACTGGGTAAGAGCCCTAATGCCTTCACTCTTACTCACGTGCCTGAAGACTGGCAAGCACACACATACCAGGGAGGAAAAGGAAGTTACACATCATATGCTCAGTGTTGTACAGCTGCAAAGCCTGACCGTTCAGTCCCTGGCTATGTGTCTTTGTGTTGGACCATTGACCGCAGGATGCCATCTAAGCCTGCTGCATCTATCTATCCGTGTATATGTAACAAGAAATGCAAGGAAAAGGTCTAAACTCAAAAGCAGTGGTACACGAAAAGAGAGAAAGTGTTTATTTTAAAAGCAAGCTCTGGAGAGAAACCTGCCGGAGGGATCATGTGTCACTCTGCTTATTTGCAAGACAGTGGTTTCACCCCACATCCTCCTCCTAATTCAGAGGGGTCACAGAGTCAGGAGAACCATAAAATTACCATCATGTTATCTACGTTCATTGCTGACAACTATTATTGGTAATAATACAAATAAAAGTAAGTGACTTAAAACAGAAGGTTCTAGAAAGGAACAACTTAATGAGCAATTAGGCACCATGGCTGCTGGAGATTATATTATGCTTTAAAAAAGGCAATAGCTTTCTTTAATACAGATGCGTATCAGGTAAGCAACTGATATGGAGGGCATAACGTATCAAGATCTTTAGAAAACCATCTGTCTGGTCCTATTTGAGAGTCTAACATTTACACTGCAGTGGTGCAGTTTGGAAAAGAAAACTGTTGGAGAGCTGCAGAGCCGGCTGTTGAGGTTTGAGAGAAGAGCAATTAAATGGTACCACCTAACACTAGGATGTGGAATTAAAATGGATTCAACACGATCACCCCCGAGTTCTCAATTCTTCAGTATCTTTATCATCAAGGAAGAAAGAAAAAAAGAATATCACGTTGCTCTAATTCACACACAGTGACAGAGTCACAGAAGTTACGGAAGAATCAAAGGAAAAAGACCACGGAGATGTATTTTTAATGAACAGCCTGTTAAATAAATAAATACATAGTTCACAGAAGCTCCAGTCAGGATCTGTGCCTCATCATGTCTCATGCTGTACCAACACTTCTAGAGTGGGATAATCACTGTCCCAAGGAGCTTTCATCTTGAAAATTACAAATGCCAGCTTGGGGGGAAATATTCCTGAATGGAAAATTGAGATGGACTGCCGGAGGCTCAAGTGGCCAGAAAAACTAAGCTTACAATGTAATTATCTTGTACAGGAGTGTAGAAACACTATGAAAACAACAGTCACGTTGAATTGGCAGAACAGAGCCAAACAGGCAATAAGAGCTTGCCCACCCTTCAAGTCACATACCTACCCTCGTTAGCTTTTCAAGTAGCTTAAAACAGCACACAATGCATTTCTACTACAAACATACCTGAAAGGTGAGATGAAAATATTAGAAGAGAAGCAAAACAGGAAGATGGCAGCAACTTGAACATGTTGGAAATGAATATATTTCCTTAGCCATGTGGCTAAGACCACTACAGGGTGCAAAAGTGAAAAGACTTTTAGTTGGAAATAAATCTGTGATTATTTCTGCTCCTTAATGATTTCTTGCCTCCACCACCCCCCAGTTCAGGGAGCAAAAATTAGCAGAATTAGCTTTCTTCTTGTTTAGTTTTTCAGCAGGCAAGTTTGGGTTTCTAAAACACTTCCTGAAATGTATTGGAGTTTCTTTATCTACACTTGTAGATGCACCTCATTCAGTGCTACCACAACTACATCCATCACTGGTATTAGAAGATATTGCCAGGATTATTTTTGTAGGCTGCAAAATCAAGCCTTAAGTTCTGAATGATTCTATCAAGGTTTGAAAATCACCAAGACACCCTGTTTTTCAACATTTACCAGTGCCAAGGACTGTGTAGTTAATTGCTCGGTCATTATGAATGGACTGATAGATAAGATGATTAGACTTCTAGGTAAGGTATGTAGGTTTGTAAGCACCAATTCTAAAAGACTGGCACATGGGCTTGACTTTCTAGATCTGAGAAGTCTCATTTGTTTTCAGCAGGACATCCACGCACAAGGAGTAACGAGAGGTTTACGTGCAGTGTCTCTAGTGCAGGTTCCCTAGGGCAGCTCTGCCCTGAAGGAGGGGCAGGGCTGAGATACGCCAGGCCTGGGCCTTCCTTTCAATTCTTCACTGCTTTTTACACAAAATCTGGAAAGGACTCGAGAAAGAAAGCAACTGAGCATGACAGCTTTTGGAGTAAGTGCTTATTCAAATGTTCCTGCTCATTTCAAACTTTTCCAGATCATCACATCGACCCATGAGCTGTGCCTGAATCACTGTGCTGAAGACCTCTGACCATGAATCACGGTACAGACCCTGTTCACGTGCTATCCCACAGGCGCTGGCCTATCGACAAAGGGAACAGATGTAGCACATGGCTGAACACAGAGGCCATGCCACCTGGAAGGGATGATGTGTGAACCTGGAAACTGCGACCTAGGGGGGATTGTGCACATCAGGGAGAGCTCTGCTCAGCAGGAGTCAATGAGACAGAGCCCTAAGGAGCACAAAGCAGCAAATAAATGCTCAAGACACGCTCTCAAATCATAAGTCTTGCCAGGCCCAGAAATGGCCCCTGATGCGCACTTAGGAGGATGTCTAGAAAAAAAAAGTAGTTTCCAGGATAAGGCTCATGGGGAGCCAACTTGATGAAACCTCTATTTAAAGGACTCTGCCTTGGCACCAATATAGTTTTGGACCCAGCCTGTGCACCACGATGCTCCCGCGAGCTCACAGACCACCACGACAGCATCTTCAATGTGCTGTGCAAGCACTATGAACAAATTTCCCAGGCACCAGCAAAACATTTTTGATAGCGGCCCTGCCGGCAAGGCGCTGGCGCTCAAACCATGCCCCACCGAGCACCCATCGCCAGAGCCTGGGACAGGGTGGGCCACCACGGGAGCCCCTCCACCAGCCCTGGGACCCCACCTCACCACGAGGGCACTTCTCTCACCCCAATGGCAAGCCCCCCCACAGCCCACACCCCGTGACAAGCACTCTATGGAGCCCAGGCCCCAATTTCCCTCAGCCACAGTGACCCCCTTCCCAGGAACCCAAGCCCTGCTCTGCGGAGAGACACCCAGCCCCCTTCTTAGTCACAAACAGAGCCCCCTCCCCGGTGACCACCGTCCCCTCCCTCCACCCTACCACGCACCTCAGTGTGTGTGTCCCCCCCCAAAATGACTTTCTCCCAGTGACACGGGCCGCTGCCCCCCAGTGACAAGTGTCCCGTCCCCCGGGACACCCCCCCCCGGCCCCACTCACGTCGTCCATGAAGAGGAGGAGGAGGTTTGGGGGCGCGGAGGCCGCAGCGGGGCCCAAGGCCCAGCACAGGCAGAGGGGCACCAGCACCCTCCTCGCCATGGCAACCGCCGCCCCCCGCGCGTCACGTGAGCGCCCCTCCGCGCTCGCGTCACGTGAGCGCCGCCCGCTCTCGCCTCACGTGACGCGCGGGAGGGGCGGGGCGGAGCGGAGGGGACGGCGGAGGTGGGGACAAGATGGCGGTCTGCATCGCCGTGATCGCTAAGGAGGTGGGGCGGGAGCGAGGGACAGCGGGGGTGGGCCTCGAGTTGTGGGGCCTGAGCGGGGACAAGGGGGGCAGGTGGAGCTGTGGGGCCTGAGGAAGGGTGAGGGGAGAAGGGCTGGGTTTCCGATCGTGGGCCCTGAGCAGGGCGGTGGGGCCAGGTGAGGTTGTGGGGTAGGAGTGAGGGGACCAGGGCAGGGTCTCAGGTTGTGGGGCCTGAACGGGGGTGAGGGGAGCAGGCCAGAGCCTTGGCAGATACAGGGCGAACGGGGCAGACACTGGAGGTTGAAGTGGGCTGAGCAGGCTGGGACCAGGGCAGAGGGAGCTGGGGCAGCGAGCGCAGGGACAGTGTGAGGGTGGTCTATGGTGTCCTGCTGCCAGGAGAGGAGAAGGGTTTTCCTCAGAAAGAGCTGGGGACAGGCTCTGGTGGGGCAAGGGGACAGGTCAAGCAGTGGAGAGACCTGAGCCTTGTGCAGTGCCTGTGCAATGATTCTCCTGCCACTGGTGTATGGAGACTGATCTGCTCCACCAGCGCTGCAAGGTGTAAAGCTGTGACAGCTGTGAACATTAAATGGTTAAAATAGCTTACTCTGACAGCAGCAATTCTTTGGGTGAAAGCACTGTTATGGCATCAGCAGTCACTTACACAGCAGAGTGGCCAGTCCTAGTTAGCATAATTAGTTCTCCTCCTCAGAACTACCCCCTGTACATCCGGAGCGTTCCAACTGAAAATGAGCTGAAGTTCCACTACACCGTGCACACTTCCCTCGATGTTGTGGATGAGAAGATCTCTGCGATGGGCAAGGCCCTTGTAGATCAGAGGGAACTGTACCTAGGGCTCCTCTACCCCACTGAAGACTACAAGGTGTATCTTTCTAATGCCTTTTGCCATGCCATTATGTATTTTTATGCTCTTTCTTATGAGGGGCTCCACGTGGGAAACCTCTCTTCCTACTTGATGCCATGTTAAAGACATCAGCAGAAAATATACAGACTTGTTCACTGACCAGTTTGTCACGTAAAGGTTCAGGTTTGGTGCCTTGGCCAGTTCAGCAGCTGACTGTGACTAGAACAAAGGTTAGACCCTTTAATAACACCAGTGAAAGTAGCAGGAGTATGAAGGTGTCTCTGGTCAAGTACCTAAATCCCAGGCGTGTGGTCTGATTTCTCTAAAATCTGTAGTCCATGGCCACAGCATCCCCAATGTTTTTAAATCACAGAGTTGATCTTTTGAACTTTCTTTGGCTTTTTCTCCGAATCCCACAGATGGAAATTATCAGCATACCTGATTTCTGGGTTTTCATAAACAGGTTGTTAATTTTTAAAGTCTCGGGTCAGTCACGCTGGCTGATATTAGAAGATCTCCACCCCTCTGATTGTGGCTTCCCAAACAAGAATAAATAAAGTGGCTGTGTCATTAAAATGGTTCTTAAAAAGACAGAAACCCTCACCAAAATAGCTAGTGGGAGGCTGCTTCTGAAATTGCAAGGCATGCCTTACTGGCCACCATAGGAGTGAGCTTGACATGGAGTTATCAGAGATGGCAGAAGTCAGGGAGAAAGGGGATACAGTGCCTGCAATCTAGTGTCTTGCTTACCTCATCTAGTCCTAGTTATGTGCTGGGCACAGCAAGAACGTCATGTTTGCTTTCAGCTTGTTTCTTTGAGTGTATTCCAGCCTTGTTTCAGTTGCTTTGCCAGGCTCTGGTGTGTCAGAAGCACATGCCTTAACAGCTGCACAGATATGGCTACGTGACAAATTCGAAGGTGAAGTTTGTTATGGTGGTGGATTCTTCAAACACAGCACTTCGAGACAATGAGATCCGCAGTGTAAGTGCAGGAAATCAGAGCACAACTTGCCACATCAGTGTTTTTGCTACTTCCGCTTATTCATAAAGTGCTGAGAAGCAAAAAAAATTAATTAAACTACAATCCCTTTTCAGATGTTCCGAAAGCTGCATAATTCATATACGGACATAATGTGTAACCCTTTTTATAACCCTGGAGACCGTATCCATTCCAGGTAAGTGGGCTGACCATACTGATCTTTCTGATCTTTGTCATCTTTCTGGAACTTGCAGTGCACCTATGATGTAACAGGACCAAGAGCATAACCTCTGTGGTTGACCAGTTCAAATGTGCATGCTCTAACTGTCTAAATGGAGAACAGCTGTGTTGTCTTTGGGCCATTACTGCATAACAGAAAACTGATACTCTCATGAGAAGTTACACTGAACTCACTCCCACCTCAGAACTGGCATTGGAAACATTGACTCAAGAAAATTAATTTCTTGGGGAGAAAAAATTGCCTGTTTCATAGATAAATAGGAAAAGAAATGTAGGTAAGTAGAGCAAGTTAAAGAGTGAACAACTGCTCTTGTCCAGGGCTTATCCTGGGGTAAGGACAGATGGGCATTCAGCACATGTAATTCCTCACATGTGAGGGCCAGTGCCCCCCATTTCTCATCTGTAATGTCACAGGGAACTTTAATAATGTTGGGAGTTTCTATTGCCTAGGCAAGAACAACTTCTTTTACACTTCACTGAGGCAGGTCTACAACCAGGATGAGACCTGCCATTACTTCAGCTTAGTTAAAAGTCATTATTTACACAATGTTCTAGTTAAAGAGTATGCTATAGTTAAAAGAGTAAAACCATGTATTCTGCTTATGGAAAGCTAGCTTGTTAACCAGTAAGAGGCATTGTTAGCCATTGGTTTTGTTACAAGGGATTTGCTGTGCAGAACTAGCTGCTTCCTTTAATATTCTGTGTTCGTTTCCTTCTCTAGGGCTTTTGATAATATGGTGAACTCCATGATGATGCAGGTGTGCTGAAGCTCTGCCCCTTCTCATCTGAGTGTTGAGAACATTCCCCATGTACAGGAGTGTGCCTACAAAGTGATGTATATATTGTCTTCGTTCTGTGCAATATTTTAAATTTATTCTATGTAAAATAAACTTGGCACCTGCAAGGTTAGCATGGATTTCTACTCTAGCAAACCTGAGTATAGCACAGAAGTCACGGTTCAGCTTCATGCCTTCAGGTAACATGTGAGAGCCAGCTCTTCCTTCAGGAAGGTCAGCTGTGTCAGACAGGAGGTTTGTTCCCTACAGAAATGTATGCAGCTGTGCCTCTGTGTAACTCACATGTTGCTGTAGAAATTGGGTTTTGTGTAAAAACAGCAGTTCCTGCTGTGCTTGTGATTAGAGCAAGCACAGCTAAGAGATTATTATTAGGGTCAACCTAGATTTCAGTCAGCTGAGATGCAGAGAGTGACACTGTTCCTCCGAAGTACTGGTGCTTCAGAGCAGTTCCTCTGAAGCAGGAGGAGCACATCAGCAACAGTACTCCTTTTGCTCTGTGCCAGCCCACTTCACTGCTGCTCAGGACTATTCATTCTGACAAGAACATCACAAGCAATGCTTAATTCAAATATACTTGGGCTCCTTGTCCTGTTTTTCCTTAGCTGGGAGTGCTCAGATCTGTATGTACTTACTCCATTAGTTCTTGGAAAGAGAAAGTTCTGCAAGTCAGCTGAAGGCTCCAGGTTTCTCTACAACCCCAGCCACTGTTTATGTACTTGAGAAAGCTCTGGCAGACAGCAAACAGCTGGTCTCAAAGCACCACCTTGAACCTGATTAAGCCCTACACTGATCTTGCCTTCCTGGGAAAGATCTTTGGGTGACTCACATTTGACAGTATTTGCTGTTATCACTTTGCACCTCATTCAGACAGGCCAGGCAGACTTAACAGTTATTTCTAGCCCAGGTCAGGACCACAGGTAGTGCAGCTGGGATAAATCCACACCAAGAGATTAAGACATCAGGATTGCACAGCTGCCTGGCTCATCCCAAACTAATCTCTATTAGCATCTCATCCCCCTGCAGCTCCCTGCTGTTCTAATTAAAGACTGCTAAATCAATAGCAGGTATTTATATAGAAAAAAATACAAACTAGACTAGAAGAGCATCCCAGCTTCTTAATCGCTTGTGCAGTGTGCTCACACTATGCAGCTACAGCAAGTTCAGCAGAGGTAATGCAGGCAGGCATAGGCACTGAGCAGCTACTCGGTGCTTTTCACACACCTCTACTCCCAAGTCTTTCCTGCCCCACAGGCAGCAGTCTGTGCTTCAAGCACCTAATCAGTTAAAAAATACATAAAACGTAGCTAAAAAAAAAAAGCTGCACAGCTCCAAAGGATACAAGAAGCCTGGAGAAAGCCAGGTCAGCATAGAGTGTCAGTTCACAGCCAGCACGGTCTTGCTGCAGATGAAATTCACACAGCAGGATCATTTATTTTAAAAATAAGTGACATTTACAATACCTTCTCAAACAGAACTTAAATACATTTAATCAACAACAAACTGTCAAATAATGGGAGATTGAAGTGTTCAAGCCTCTCCCACCATCTAAACAAGGCACAGCTGTACACTGCTATTCCAAAACATCCATATAAAAGTCTTCACTCTTTTCACTCAGAGATATGGAGCTCAGTATTTCCCCTTCCACAAGAGTCCAAACACCCCAAAGTAGTTTCTGTTAAAAATTAAGTCTCAAAAATTTACAAAGCTACTAAATGGAAAGTTTAAAGCCCTAGAAAAAGCCTGTTTTATAGTCTAAGCCTAAGGGTAGCTCAGATCAAGGCCAGTCTCAGCAGCATAGTGCACACTGGGCAAAGTGCAAAATCAACACACCATGAAGAGTTAAGGCCCCAAGCTTTAAAAAAAATCTTGAGATCTTAAAGGGAAAAAAAAAAAAAAAAGAGTGGGATTTTTAGCCTGGCAATGCCGCCTGAGCTGTGAAAAGCTGCTTTAGGAGTCAGTTGCATCTGTTGCATCTGGGTTAGAGGAATCCTAACCAAGGATCCCGAAAGATTAGTGTGAGAATTACATAATAAAACTGATTTCAATGCAGAACTTCACACAGTAACACTGTCTGCTGGTGTTTGCAGCCTGCCTCTTTGAACACAAAGTTTCTCCTTTAAAAACAAGAGGTTTCAGAGCTCATAAATGCAAGATCAGCAGGAAGGGGAAGTGTCAGGCAGCGGTTGTTTCCCAGTACCCAGCTCCTGTGGTGCACTTCAGTCCTGACCCTCTAGTTCAGCTGGGCTCACGCCATTCCCAAACAGGGATCTGGAGCAAGAATGGTGACAGGAGTAAAGAGGAAGATCATACCAAATTTGCAACAGTGGATGATTTTGTAGTACTGCTACTGCTAGAAATAAAGTAAAATGATGAGTTGGCAGCGCCCTTTGATCCCTGTAGCTTTGGAATGAAAGCAGGAGGGGGTAAGAGGGGGTTTGTTGACTTCTGAAATAAAAAAGGGGAAGGATTTTGTGACACCCAGGTCTTGTTTAACCACCACAGAGATACAGAGGCTTCCAGAGAAACAGCAAGGGATGCTTTTTCCCTCTCCTAGTTGTTACATGTACAACAGCAGCAGCAAGCTAAAAACCAGACCCAAACCACATCATTAGGCTCCATCCTCTCCCCAAGAGCAAGGTCAGAAATCCACAAGGCTGATGAAGGAAAAGCTCCCCAGCAGTCAGATCTACGGCTGCAACCCAAGACTTTCTGCACCGATTTGGAAAAGAAAGTGGTCTTTGGAAAGGTCTTTAGCATCTTCTTATGGGCAAGAGAAAGCAGCATCCAGCTCTTTTAGAAATATCTGGCAAAGCTGAGGGTGCTTCACATGCTGAGCAGGACAGCTCTGCCCTCACGGTGGGGCAGAGGGCATTTGGACACCTGGAAGCCAAACCAAATCCTCCGGTATGGCCCTTCTCTATGGAATGAGGATGAGACTGATGGTCTGGGAAAGCTCTTCCCTTCCCAGGCCAGGGTATTCTCTGGAATGAGACTGTTCTTGATGACAATGCAATCCCCTAAGCAAAGCTAAGGTGAGCCCCTCCAGGGATGCTGGCAGGGATCCGGCTGATGTGCGGGTGGAGCGGATCCAGTCTTCCCTCCCGCAGCCTGGCACACAGCTGCCTCACCGGTAATCCTCACGGCCAGGCAGATGGCATTTTTAAAATTAATCTTTTTTGGCTTGGGTAGGCATATTTTTAAATCTCTCCAATCCCACCTCATTTCAGTCCCATCGGCATCACCAGGGCAGTCCAGTCCTTTCTAGTACGGAAAATACCAAGGCAGCAGCCTTGCCCGACCCCTAAACAAGAACAAAAATAGCATTCTAAAGCACCAGGGCATTGCTCAGCTGAGAGGTCAGCTGTGCCAAAAAGCACAGCTACCTGCTCCTTCACCCCTCCAAGAGGTGGGACTCACCCTTCTGCCCCAGCTAACCTAGACTGAACACCCAAAAGATGGGGGAGCCCCAAAGCCAGGCACAGCTCTGGGACTGGTCAGGCTGGGAGTACATTGCCCACTCACCACCCCCCAAAAATCCCTGCAGGGATGGGGGGGACAGCAGCACATTTCCAGGTGTTTTTTCCACCCTCAAAGCTCTTCTCTGCTTCCTCCTGCAGGGCCAAAAGGGCCGGGGCATCATTGAAGCTAATCCGCAGTGAGCTCACGGATGCACAAGCAGCAGGAGGTGTGCCGGAGAATAGCTCCAGGCCTGCACTGGGGATGCGAGGGATGCTGGGACAGCAGCGGGGATGGGTCTGCCGTGACATTGGTGACTGCTCACTTCAGTCCTCCTCCCTCTCGGCAGCCCACAGTCCCTGCTGAGGTGCCCATGTCCCAGCTGGACCAGCTGCCAGGCTCCTGCCAGACACCGGGGTGATGCTAACAGCATATGATGGGCAGGAGACATTTCTAGCACAGGTCTCCAGGAGGATACTCCTGACGGAGCCCTCCTCCATCCTCCTGTCCATGCCAGGGTGGGAGGTATGAAGCTAAGCACGGCCAGAGTGAGGGACAGCTATCCCCACCCTGGGGACACCCTGCTCCACAGGGATCTTGACCCAAATACGCAAGAAACCACCCTGCCCGGCTGCTCACCTGTATGTCCTCCCTCGCACCCTCAGGTGCTGCCCTCCGTAGTAGCCTCTCCGCCGGGCTAGCCCTCCCCGGGCTTGGAAGCGGCCCCGGTAGCCCCCACGGTCAGTGGTGCTGATGCCCGGCATGTTGGTCCTCTTGGGCAGCACCTGGAAGGCAGCGGGTGGCACTGGGGTTTGGCACAGCCCCATGCACATGGGGCTGGGAGGGATGGATGCACCACCCCAGGGCCTCATCCAGCACTTACCTTAATGACACGGCCTCTGAACACACTCTCGTCCAGCTCCACTGCAGCCTTCACTGAGCTCTTCTCCTCAAACTCAATGTAGGCATACCTGCAAGGGGACAGGGTGAGCAGAGCCCCAGAGACACCCCACTGCTCCCAAAGGCTGGGGAGCACAGGGGAGCACCCTCAAGATCCCGATCCCAGCCCCTGCAGACAGTACTGACCCTTTGGGATGCCCTGAGAACTTGTCGCAGAGGATGGTCACTCGGTTGATCTGCCCACAGCTGTTGAAGTGAGACTCCAGCTCTTCCGCTGTGCCCCCGTAATCAACCTGCAACAACAGTTCCAGCCCCTCCAGCACCACCAGCCGGTCCCCCCCCGCTCATGGGTCTGCATTCACACACCATCGTGGGAGGCAAAGGCCCCAGCTGACCCCACTCACACCTTGCCACCACAGCTTCATCATCTCCTCAGGTTCAGGAGACCCTTCCAGCTGAATGCTCCAGCCTGGAAACCCAAATCCAAGAGACGCCCCCCCCCCCCCTTTGAGGGAACAAGCAACACTGCACGACCCACAGCTTCCAGCGGGGTATTTTGGGGAGCTGACACTTGCAACAGATTATCTGCAAGTGACTGAGGATCATGGGCAGATGCTGAGCCACATTCCCAGTCTGGGCTGGGCAGAGGAGAAGCATTTGGGATGGGACCAGCCAGCCTTCGGTGTGGGGGCAGGTGGACCCCCATGCTAGGGATCTCGGACATACGTCCAGCTGGGCAAGGAGCAGTGAGGTGGGCTTTGCTCCAGGGTCTCCAACTTACATTGCCCACATAGATGGATCGCTGGTCGACCTCCATCTTCTCCTGAGTCATGTTTGGGAAGAGACCTGCAGAGACAAGGGGTTGTGCCGGACGGAGTCGCAGGAGCCCTCGACCAGAGGCACGTCTGTCCGTGCAAGGTCTGCTCCCAGCACGGCCACCACCGAGCTGACACACTGCAAAGCTCCTCAGGTGCCCGGTCATGTCTGGGCATACCCAAATCCCCACTCTGCTGCCTCCTCCTCCTCCTCCATCCCCTTGCCCCCTCCCTCTTCACAAAAGAGACCCACAGGGTGACTGCTCTACTGGGGCTGTTGGTGCTAAACTCAGTTACTTAACTGAATTAAATTTAATTAAATTAATTTACTGCATCTTGGCCTGCAAAGGTAGGAGGTAAGAGTGGATATAACCTGCATTAGCATCACACCACGCCTGGGACCCCGTCCCTCACCCACCTTACGTGTGCAGTCCCAGGCTGCCAGGAGAGGCAGAGCCACATGCTCTGGCTCCAGTTGCCACCCTGTGCCCCAGAGGTGTCCCTGGGGGGACAGCAGCACCCAGGGACAGCCCATACCTGCCTCCGAGCTCATGATGAGGCGGCTCTCAGCTTCCAGCTGCAACTCCTTCAGCCTCTCGTCCTCCTTCTCCATCTCCCGCACTCTGGCTTTGATGGCCTCCAGCTCCTGAAACCCAAACCAAGACTTGCATGAGCAGCACACAGAGCAGGGACACCCCCACCCTGGTCCCCACCCTGGGCTGGGACATTGCAGTGCTGCACAGCATGCACCTCCACCAGCAGTGGCCTTCCAGACTGGGGACAAGGGTGGGCTTGGTGCTGGGGACGACAGCCTGTCCCACAAACAAGGGGACAGCTCCCAGCTTCACTGGGGAGAAAAAACAGGTAAATATTTCCTTTCCCACGCTTGCTTGCAAAGCAGCGTGTGCTGCAGCAGAGGTGTACCAGCAGCACCAGAGCTGCCGGAGGGAGCCGGGGATTTAAGCTGGTGACGAACAGGAGCCATTTACTCTCACTCAGCCAGGCAGACATCTCAGCAGTGAAAGCTAAACAGCAGGAGAGTAACAATTCCATTTCCAGCTTCTCAGCTCAGGGGTTTTAACATCAGGGGCCCAAGATTATTCTTATTCTTTATTTTTGGAAGCGCTTGAAGAAAGGTGTAGAAAGTTTCCCATTTCCTTAGAGAAACAGGGAAAATTGATTCCACACTCAGCCAGGCACTCACTGGGTCCGGCACAGCCAGCTCCTCTGCACTGTCTCCCTCCAGGTGGCTCAGGTCCGAGTCACCATCTGCAGCCTTCCTCAGAGCTGCCATCTCTGCCACATCCCAGGACGCCTCCACTGCTGCCAGGGATGGCGGGTCCTGCCACCAGATCCCTGAAGTGTCCAGGAAGAGAGGACTGGGCGGGAACAGGGGCAAAAAGCCATTTAACATAGAACCTAAAGTAGAACGCCAGCCGGGCAAAAGCTTTAAGGTTGCTTCCAGCAGAAGGCTGAACAGGTGCCACCAAAGCAGTTTGCTCTTGGTGCTGCAGGCAGGCTTGCAGCAAGACCCCAGAACTGCAGGAGTGAGGGCTACTGAAAGGTCTCCAGTTCTTACTGAGCTACCTCCCAGCTCAGGGGAGGCTGCAGAGGGAACCTGGAAGCAGCTTCCCTTGGGTGAAAAAAAAACCCACAAACAGGCACAAACATCACAGCCTGCTGGCAGGGAAGAGGAAGAGGCGACATGACCTGCCCCACCAGCAGAGCTCACAGGCTGCACAGAGGGAGCAGCAGGAAACCCTGCCTCACCCAACCAAAGGCAAACCCGCACTCCTCCAGCCCTGGGCTCTTTGTTTGAGCCCACAGAGGGACAAACTCACCCACCCATGAGCAGGAAGCTGACCCCGCTGTAGCCCGGGGAGCCCCAGGCCTCCCACCGCCCCGGACCCACCTCACCCGGCCCCCAGACATGCTGCGCTGCCTTCGCGGAGCCGGCAGGAACCAGCGGAACGGCAACACGTGCGGATCTCCCGCCACCACGTGCGCCTCTCCCGCCGGCGCGCCACTTTCATACATCAGGGGCCAATCAGGGCAGAGCGCGCCGCCAGGCCCCGCCCCGTGCCGGTAGGGCGGGGGGGAGGCGGCCCTGCCCAGCCGTGACTCTGGGGCCGAGGGTTCGAGCCCCGGGGGCGGCAGCGAGCACGCGTGTGCACCCGGGGACACGCGTGGCCAGGCGGGGGCACGGCCCCCCCCGAGTTTGGGGACCTTCCGTGTCCACCGACCCCGCTGGTGGTGCTGAAGACCGCAGCCAGCTCCTAGCGGCTGCCCCTGGCACAGGGGGGAGCAGCGGGGCACCCAGAGGGGGTGCAGCATCTGCAGCCAGGAGGGGACATCCCTTTGGGTTTCCTGGGGACAACCCGCCGTGGACACCCCTCCTCAGAGCCGGACGAGGGGCAGTGACCGACCCCAGGGTTATAATGAACCCCACCAGGGTTGGGGGCACGGGGTGCAGGGCGCTGCCGGGAGAGTGGGGCGAGGGCACCCAGCACAAGCCCAGGCTACGGAGCCTCCGGTTGATATTAAATTGTCTTTATTACACAGATACAGAGTTAAGAACAGACAGAACCTGAATCATAAAGTTTACATCTTTCACAGGTCAAACATACAGTACACTTAGAGAAAGCGGGAAACAGCAAGGGGGGGGGGACAGCATGCCGAAGGAAAGTCCTAACACGTCATCTCTCTGGACTGGCCCCCAAAACCCACACAACAGGGCAGGGCAGGCTGCCGCCGTGCCCACCCGGCCCTGGTGGGGGGCTCTGGTTTCCAGCTCCCCCCGAGGACCCCCATGCCCCGGTGTCCCCATCCCCAGGGCTGGCAGGGTGATGCGGGCAGGGCTCAGCCCCCCACGGGACCGGGGAACCGGTGCTGCCCGTGCAGCCGTGAGCGAGTGGGGACGGTGGCACGACACCCCCCGCCCGGGGCCGTGGCGTTGGGTTGGCATCGGAGGAGCCCCCGGCGCTGGCACCACGGTGGGGACACCCCAGCATGGTTCCTAGGACCTGGGAATAAGGTGGCATCTTGTTCCCAACCTCAAACCCACTGGGATCCAGGGGGGCACCCCGAGGAGAAGGGGGGACCCCAGCAGGCCCCAGAGGAGGAGGGCAAGGAGAGGCTGTGGGGGGCTCCGACAGTGATGGAGCAAAGCCCAGGCAGGTGTGGGACCCCCGCTCCGGGGTGCCCTGCCTCGCTGGGATGCGGCACTTTGGTTTCAGCTGGGATTTCGGGTTGGGAACGTGAGAAAGGAGCCGGGGATGGGGCTCCGGTGCCACGCTCGGTGCCGGAGGAGAGCCACGTCTCTCCTGCCACCTCCTCCAGCCTGGTGCCGCAGCCAGCACCCAGCACTCAGCACCCTGGGCTCTGCCTCCCCCCCGGGGACCGGGACCTCGGGCAGGCTGTCCCCACACCTCCAACACCGTCCCCCATCCCCATCCATGATTGAGGGGGGAAAAACCCAAGAAGGGGAGCTGTGGGCGGCCACGGGGACCCGATCCAGCAGAGGACTGTGCCTGGGCAACCCGGCGTCCCTGAACTGCCCACAGCCACTGGGGTGTCCCTTCCCACCGGCCAGGCTGCACCGGCACCACGAGGCTCATCCGTCTGCCATCTCCTAGATGCCACAAAGCCACCGAAGGACGCGGCATGGGTCACGCATCCCCTGGCCCCCCACACGCTCCAACACCATTTTGGAGCAAAACCCCACGGAAGCGCCCACTGCTCCAGCCAGAGCCTCCCCGGCCGCCACGGCCCCCTCTGCACCCGCATCACTCCGGCCCCGCGGCCGCACCGCCGCTGCTGTCCTCCCCGCATCACTAATTTTTTTGGGAAATATTACACTTTAAAGCTGTCGTTCTGGTTTGGACGTCTGCTAGTGCCGCACCGCCTGTCCCCTCCCTCCCTCGGCTTTTGGTTTCAATACAAGGTTCTGTAGGGTATTTTTATTATTATTTAAAAAAAAAAAAAAGACGACGAAAATAATAATTAAAAAAAAGCAAAACAGAAGGGAGTGGAAACGAGAGCAGTCTCTGTGGAAATGCTCTCGTCCGCGGTTTCCCGGCGAGGCGGAGGTAGAGAGGCAGAGCCCCAGCGTGGAGCGGGGCCGGGGACACGCGCGGTGGGAAGGGCAGGGACGGGACGGACACCCAGGAGAGCAGGCGGCCCCGCAGCAGGTGCATCTGCAATACTCTTATATATTACCTCTTCTCAGGAAACGTAAGAAAAATAGACAATATTACATATGTCACACCATAAATAAAGTGAACAGTCACTTGAGGGGCACCCAGCAAAGCTCCCAGCCTCGGGGTGCACAGAACACCCCCCGGGGGGATGCACCGAAGACTTGGGGTGCACGGAACCCCCCCGGGGAGATGCACCAAGGTCTCAGGGTGCACAGATGCCCCCCCCGGGGGGGATGCACTGAGACCTTGGGGTGCACAGAAACCTGCAGCAGGGCTCGGTGCTGGTGGCATAGGGCCGGTAACATTGCCTCGGGAGTCCCCCATGCACCGAGCTCTGCTGCAGCGTGGCACGGCACGGCACGGCACGGCACGGCACGGCACGGCACGGCACGGCTGCCGCAGAAGGCAGCCGCAGCTGGGCCCCTGGGTGACCGGCAACACAACCGACCCGGCCCCAAGCCCTTCCCTCCTCTTCCTCCCCTACAAAAAACACACAGGATGGTTTTTGCAAATGCGGAAAAACTACAGCTCCTATCGAGCACACGACTTCTGTTCGCCTCCGGCCAGCCTCGCTCCCCCATGCCACAGCCTCCAGCGGGTTCTCATCATCTTTTATTTGGCAAATGTCTCTTATTATTATCACTATCATTATTATTATTAATTTTTGGACCTCTGCAAAACACTATTTACATTCACATTAGCGTACAGCACTCCTGCCCCGTGCGGGGCTTCCCTCCTCTCGGAGCCGGGGGACTTTCCGTATTGCACTCCCGTCCTCTGCGCTTTGTACAATGATGCGAGAAATACAAAATAATCGACATCGTCCTTGGCTGCCTCCTCGGCCAGGAAGGAGGTGGCGCTCGCTTTCCTTTCCTTTCCTTTTTCCTCTTAAAAATCCTTGCAAAATAAATCCGACATGGGGTGTGAGAGCAGCCCGGCAGCGAGGGGCTGGGGGGGATCCGGCCGCAGGCGGCCCCCGACGGCTTCGGGAAGGGAGAAACCCAAAATCTGTCTTTTAATCTCTTTTCTTATTCTCTTTTTCCAGGGCGGCGGCGGGCAGAGGTAGAGATGTGCCAGCTCCAGCTGTGCCCACCCGGGCGGTTCTCAGCCACCATCTCCCCCTCCCACGCCTCGGAGGCTTGCTTTTTTTAAAAAAAACACCTTTTTTTTTGCTTTATTTTAATAGAAACTCTTTAAAGCCCCAGGGGCGCGTCCGTCCATCCTTACGGGGAGGGGAAGGAAGCGACAACAGAATGAAACGAACTTTGGCAGTGGAGAGACGTTTGGATCTTCCTTGGTTTTGGATTTCCTTTGGAGCAGAGGTGAGTCTGGTCTGTTCTTGGCTAGCTAGCAAGGTAGTTACAGGTGAGCGTCCGTCACGCGGCTTGACTTGGCGTCGTCTGGTTTTTGGATTTTTTCTTTTTTTTTTTCTTTTTTTTTCCTTTTTTACAATTTCTTACTTAAAGCCAAAGAGTCCGACGTTTTCTTTTTTATTTTCTTTATTTTTTTTTACAAAAAAAAAAAAAAAAGAAAAAAAAGGGAAAAGAGAGACGAGGAAAAGACGTTTCTTTCCTCCTGCAAGCGAGCCCCTTGGCAGCGCCAATGTGGGCCAGGGCTGGGCCAACCTCTCCCCACGTCACTGCGTGGTGAGGCTACAGCCAAATCCCTCATCTGGAAAGAAAAAAAGAAAAAAAAAAAAACCAAACAAAAAAACCCGAACAAAAAACCAAAACCAAACCCGAACCGCAATCCCCCAACAGATAGAAAACCAACCAAAAAAAGCCAAAACAAAGACCAAAGAGAGAACAGAGAAGACCGGTATTTGCCTTAACTCCACTTAAAGCCCAGTTTGAGGATCCGTGAGGATTATTTGTGAGAGCTAGAGAGGTCGTTTCGGAGGTCACACGAGTCAGGTAGCTGAGGAAATTGCATCGAGTGCAGTCCGTGTCTTTTGGAGAGCGGTGGTAGCAGCGGCGGCGGCAGCGGCGGC